ATGTGGAATAATTCAACTCATGAGATGAGAACATATACAGAAGTAAATAGTTTGGGCAAATATTGTTGTTATTAATCATAATTAAATATAGGATCAAATGATAATTAAGACTAATTCTTTGCAATTTTTCCATTCAATTCTAAAAACTATAAGAGAGAAAGTGCATATAGACCCACCTAAATTCTAATCAATGTATGTAACTCGTTTATTAATAAGCTAAGACTTTATTTCCTCTCTAATTATGTATTCCACTATTCATGTTGCAAACTCAGCATTTGTTTTTATTTGCTTAACTTTTGATGAGCTTAAGGATTAAAATGTGCAGGGTACAATCAGTGCTAATATCATAAACTATAAACTCAATTGAATTTTATTATTATTGTATGTCTTCTACTTCAAGTTACTATATCACATAGTTATATATTGTCTTATATTGTGAACCGGCCTCTATGATTGGTTAATACTTCGTAGAAGATTTTTTTAAAATAAATAAATAAATGAAAGGTATAAGAAGTTTAATGATCTTCTTTTATTATTAAGGGATGACCAAAAGTCAATAAATAAATATATATATATATATATATATATATATATAAATAAGAAGTTGAAAAGAAGATTTATAAAGAATGTTGGTTTCATACGACCATAAGCCATGAGCTACTTGTAAAGATTGTGTATAGAAATATTTGGTCATAACAATTAAGTTCACACATAAATATATAAAAAATTATTGTATGAATGAATTAACTTACCATGTTTTATAATTTATTACTCGTATATGATAATACGATGTACTTTTTAGAACATAATTTTCACAAATTTATAATAATATAAGGGTTGATCGTATGTTGTCATTATTTGATGTTTCAATCAAAGAATTTGTATTTTACGTATTTGATTGACCTTTGAACTTTCAGAGGTCATGAAATGGGTCTAGACAACCCAATAAAAGAGAAGAAAGTTCGATTCATGCACTTACTTGCATTGTGTCGGGGAGATATGAAAATTCAAGATTAATAATCTCATTTTAAAGCCTAAAAAAGATTTAAATAAAAATATATCAAAGTATACCAATATTATAACTTTATAAGCCTCCAACACAACATAGGATGATTTTAACATCAATAAAGGATGTCTACAACCCAGTCATTACTGATACTCATGAGGAAGATATCGATATGTTGCTTAGGCAACTTGATATTCCAGAGCTAAAGGAAGAGGATAAAAGCTGGCTCGATAAGGAGTTCACTGAAGGGGAAATTAAACAGGCAATGTTCAAGATGCACTGTTCTAAATCTCCTGGCCCCGATGGGTTTACCGTGGATTTCTTTAAGACCTACTTGCATGAAGTAGGGCAACTGGTGATTGATAGTGTAAAATAGTTCCTGAGAACAGGAAATATGCTCAAAGAGTGGAACCAATCTTTACTGGGTTTAATTCCGAAGGTTAAGACCCCGGAGCTGGAAAACCAATTTAGACCAATTAGTTTATGCAACACGATCTACAAGTGCATATCCAAATGCTTGGTTAATAGGCTCAAGCCGGTTCTCCCAAGCCTCATTTCGGAGAATCAGCATGCTTTTATTCCAGGAAGGTATATGGAAGACAACATTTTGTTGAGTCATGAACTTATGCATCTTATTAATTCGAGGAAGGGCTCCTATTTTTTACGGCCATCAAGATTGATATGTCAAAAGCGTATGATAGAGTGGATTGGCCTTTTCTCCTGAAAGTCCTGCAAGCATTTGGTTTCTCTAAACACTGGATACGAATGATATCACAGTGTGTTTCAACGGTGATTTTCAAAACCATCATTAATAGGAAAGCTTCTAATCATTTTGTTCCACAATGTGGTCTGAGATAAGGGGACCCTCTCTCTCCGTACCTATTTATTTTCTGTATGGATATTTTGTCAAGAATGTTATCTTTGGCAGAAGATATCAATATGATTAAGGGTCTGAAAGTCTCACGAAGATCTCCCTCGATATCTCACCTTCTCTTCGCAGATGATGCCATGCTTTTCTTCAAGGCAAACAATGACTCGTGTTTGTGCATTACAGACATCCTTTCTAGGTTTGGGAAAGCTTCTGGTCAACAGTTAAATCTCCAGAAGTCTGTCATAAAGTTCTCACCGGGGGTCGCCCCTGAGGATAAACTGGCTATCAAACAACTTTTCTCTATACCTGAGACTGGGAATATGGGGATTCACCTGGGTGCCCCTATTGATATTAAGGGGAAGAAAAGTTCGTCTTTCCAATTTCTGATTGACAAAGTATCGAAAAAAATCATCTCATGGGCCCCTTTACATCTATCACAAGCGACAAAGTTAATTCTCATTAACATGGTGTTGGTAGGCATGTCTGCGCATGTTATGAAGTGCCTGAAACTCCCCCAGAGCATAGCAAACAAAATTGACTCCCTTATTACTCGATTCTGGTGGGCAGGAAATGGGAATAAGGGTATGCACTGGTGAGTAGAAGTATCATACAACTTCCGAAGAGTATGGGAGGGTTGGGAATCTAGGGGATGTCGACACTTAACGACGCTCTTCTTTTCAAGCTAGCAACAAGGATGCACCTAAATCCACAACTTCTGCTATCAAGAGTTCATAAAGGTTTTCAACCATGCAGTATATGCCATATTACTAATCCTTATAGACGACAAGGGAATCCTTCAATGGGGAGGTCAAGCATTCATAAAGTTGCCCAATCCTTCAAGAAGGGCTTTGTGTGGAAAGTGGGAAATGGAGAGAGTATTAGGGCTATTAGCATGCCGTGGGTTAAAGGGGAGACCCCTCTAGTTAAGGAAGGTTGTACTCTGAGGGACGCTTTGAATTGGAGAGTAAGTGATTTCATTGACAGTGATACTTTAACTTGGAAGGCAGGAAAGATAAAGGATTTTTTTGATTGGGATAGTGCGAAAGCAATCATGGAAATGGAGCTTCCGCACACTCCTGAAGAGGATTTCCTCTTTTGGATTTATCACCCCTCCGGCAAATACACAGTTAAAACTGGGTATTACTTTCTTTCAAAGGATGGGGGAATGGAAAGCACTGCGTCCTTGAATAGGGAGCTAGAGTTCGTAAAGCTAGTCTGGAGAATGGATATTCAACCGAAGTGGAAAGTTTTCCTGTGGAAGTTGTTTCATGATGGAGTTGCGATCAAAGGTAATCTAGCTAGAAGAGGGGTACAAGTTGAAGCTGGCTGTGACTACTGCGGGTTGGCTCTGGAAGATAGCCAACATTTGTTTAGATTCTATTCTCTGGCAAAGGAAGTATGGGAGAATAGCCCCGTAACTATTTGCCCTGACAGGCCTGAATCCTCTTCTTCCTTGAGGGGATGGATTCATCACTATATCATGCTCTTTAATAGCGAGGATGGAAAGAATAGTACCCGAAGTGCTTTGTTCATAGCATCACTATGGAGTATATGAAAAATGAGAAATGCAACATGCTTTAATGGAGCCACGGGGACATGTAGTCTGGTTTTGGAGTTCATAAAGCTTGCAATGGAGGATCATGAGACCTTCAGACAACAAATAAGTCCGACTAATGAGAGGGAGGTTGCCAGCAAGGGTAACCTTCTTGTTCCCCCGGGTTTCAACCATGTGCAGCTAGGAAAGGCAAAGCTTGGTTTTAACAAATTTATAGTGGAGGCTGATGGATCATGGGATAATAAAACAATGAGAGCAGGGGTAGGCTGGGCAGTTAAGAATAATATATAAGGTGTTTCCAGGGAAGAGGGGGGGATTATGGTACTACAGCGTCAGTCATTCAGTGTGAGGCCTGGGCTTGTCTTGAAGCTTTGAAGTGGGCTTGGGCTAAAGGAAAACAAGGAATTCTTCTCTTATCTGACTCCATCTCTCTTCTAAATAATTTACAAGAAAACCAAGGAAAGGAGATCTCCATTAATTGGCTGCTAAAGGAGCTACGGATAGTTGGAGCGGCGTTTCAAAGATGCACAATTTTAAAAGTTGATAGAGATCAGGTTCAACGAGCTAACGACATTGCTAGGAAATGTCGGATAGGTTTCCCTTATTTGTTGTAGTTTTTCTTTGTTCCTTTGCAATTGTAAAAAAAAAAAAAAAAAAAAAAAAAAAAAAAAAAAAAAAAAAAACATAGGAAATGGTGTCATGCATCAACCCAACATCAAATATACAATTGGCCACCACAAATCTCAATTAGGTATACTTTTAAGTCAATTCATCAATATTAAATATATAGAATCTCTTAGAGTTATTATTATAAATTTAATATTAATAGCTACTGGAATTTAAAACTTTAGTAGCAACTGAGTTGAAATGTACAGAATTTTGGATTTTGACCACAATTGCATTACAACTATTTTTTGAACTGCCTATTGCCCATTTAAGGGAATCAATATCATCTCCTTATCTTCCCATTAACATAACATCTTTGAATATTGTTAGGCCTATCTATTGGAATACATAATATTCTCTAAAACAATAATGTTTTAGTTGAACTAATGGCTCATTTTGGACAATTTTATAACTAGGTATGTTTCTACCAAAAAAAAAAATGCTCCGTATATAACTAGGTATCAGGTATGTAACATAGACATTGAAACTCTTGCAAAACCAACCATCTTGCTGTATTATTAAGCTACAAGATTCTAAGACGGGTTGGGATTTCTTTAAATGTGCAAAATAATACATATTTGCCAACTTTCCGTTCATCAGCTTCTAGTACATTTTACACTATTCATATACTAATATACTTTAGATCCTTTCATGTTTATTTATTTGTACCAAATACAAAATACTACATTTTTGACATTAAATAGAATGTTAAATTAGACTGATCTCAGTGATCACAAAATATTTAATTGTTATACAGAGTAACAAATAGTTAAAGTAGTAAAGATAATAACACACAAGCTGCCTTCTAATCAATGAGGTCCACTTCGTTTACTAGGACTCACAATTTGACAGACACAATGGTCAATGGAAGCTAGAGAATTTCAACATGGTGGAAACTCGCATAAGACATCAAAATATATATGTTGATTTTATAGAAATCACACATACACCAATTACACTATGCATCATGGCCAATAGACAAAGTGCTACCGATGTGTTCAGCACAGCTCGTAAGCACTTGCAAGCAACAAATATGTCATTCATGGCAACTAAAGTGCATTCAAGATTCCAACAACAATATCTGTCTACGCAAACAAAGAAACTACTGTCTTTTTAGTATTGCAGTCTCGGCAAAATATCATAAAACACAAAATTGGAGCCAAAATTTAGACAAGAAAGATTTAAGATTCCCTAATAATCCAAGCCTGAAGACTCCTTACTTCTTATCTTCCTTCTCAGCCTCAGCCGCCCTCTTCAGTCTAATACCTTGGTGGCGTTTGTTTGTCCTCTCAAGACGAAGCTTAGCATAAGCGTTGAAAGACTTCATGTCTTCTGTAACCTTCACAAGCTCCACTGGTGCCTTCTCACTCTGAATAGGCAAGTACGGGCCTTGAACCTGGGTAGCATTAGCAAGTTCCTCTGGAGTAGAATCACCAGCCTGTAACGGAGAAATACAATGAATGAGATGCTACATCATCAAACAGATACATTTTCAAAGTTCCAAAAGACAGAATGATCAATGACAAAAAATAACATTACCTTGAACTTCCTTGCACTCCTTGGGAAGACAACGAGCTTAGCCTTGTAGGTCTTCAGCCTCTGCACGTTTGTCTGCAGACCTTCAAGTGAACGATTTCTGCGTCGGTGGTCAACTGCAATTCCAATGGTGGGAGCAAGCTTCCTGGGAATACCAGCACCCTATAACATAAGAAAATCATGTTAAGAGATGTTAGTAGAAAACTCTAATATAGCATGGGGTTCATTACGAAGGAACACCAGACCAGTCATTTTTTACAACTAAAATATTAAGTATACACCTTGGGATATAATTTAAGGAAACAATATGAACGCATTTGAAAGGTCTTCTTGACTTGCATAAATAAGTCTTCTATCTAGCTTATGTGATGATTTAACCTTGTATAATCACAATATGAAAATTTTTGAGACTTAGATTAAGCCATCAATTCCTGAGCATAATTCATCAGCACAACTATTAAACTCTTCAATTCGTGGAAACATTTAAACAACCAAATGCACTCTCCAATTCATGGAAACATTTTAACAAAACAATGCTCAACACCTTCAATTAGAGAACTGCTTAAGCTCTGAAAACACTCCTCAAATATTGAAAGCCCACATAGACTTCAGATATAAGGGAAGCCTACAGATATTACAAAATCCTACAAACATATACCGGACATGCTTATGTTTGCTCATCAGTAACAAACAATATAGAATGCTAGATACACCTAAATCCAGCTTGAATTGGAATATAAACTAAAAACCCATGAATTAAAAAAGGGGCTAATTCAAGGACTTCAGCACAAAATTCAGACATAACAGTCACGTAAACAGGGGATTTTTATAACAAAGCAATCCAATAGTAAATTTGAGGGCATTCCTATTCCAAAACTCCCAAGTCCCAACAAAAAAAGCTTACATGTAAAGAAAACATTTTTAATAATTTCACCTAGCACCATGTACAAGTACATCAGCTTCCAGTCTCAACAAATTATAATACATACATCACTTAGTTTTCATAACATCGACATTAGCATCATTCATACAGAATGAATGAAAAGAATATAGTTACCTGCAATTCTTCAAGGGAGAACCCTTTTCCAGCCCTGACTTTCATGTTGTACTTCAAAGTTTGACCGTGAACAACTGGGCGAAGAGGTCCAGCAGTTGGCCTTGGGAAGATCTTCACAGCCTTCTTTTGCCTGACTGTAATTGCATACAAAACAAGCATTTAGACTTAAAATAATTCAACAAAGGGCTTAAAAACTAAAGATACCACTTAAAAAGATGGAGTACAATACCAAGACGTCTCCTGGTCTTGCGAGCAGGTTGATTGAACCAAGTCTTGACATAGTTTTGCCAATGCTTCTTGAAATGCCCGTTAGGGATAACATTGTTATGCCTCACCATGGCTTACCTGAACAAAGCAGCAAAAACATGGCTTGAGTAAAACAGATATTCTTAATTTTATCATACAATCAATCAAGAAGCAGTTAAAACAGAGCCTCTAAAACCAAGCTATTTAAAATCAATTACTGTTCTAGGTAGATTAAGCATCTCAAATTTAGATTCCCTGTTCAAATTCTAACAGTCATCTCACAACAAACCGAAAGCAAGGGTAGGCTGGGAACTTGCAAAATCCTGCTGTAATGAGAAACTTCAATGGTCCATTTAAGGCCAATCATCAAATTAATACACAAATTAGCCGACTCATACATCGACATGTTACAAAGCGTCGTTAACTTGTTGCACGACATGTAAGCTTTTTTGATGCATCATGCATTTTGTATCGATATACAGCATACTAAACAATTAAAATGCAGAAATGACATTGTTGCGCGGGTAACAAAATACATCAGTGCCCGATACTGTCATATATAATAGTAAATCATGCTAACGGTATCAGCGACACAGCTAACAGATATCAAGCATATTACCTAAGAAAACTTCCGATTTCTTAATCTCAAAATCAAAATTGATATTGCAATGATAGTTCCACCACTTTAAATAAAGACTTCAACTCCAATTTCTAAATTTCAGCATAACAATGCACAATTACAGCATCATTAAAACATACTCTTACACCATTTCGCATGATATATTGGTAATAAATGTTACAAAAATCTCTAAATCATGTAAATTGAAGTTTATAGAACCATGCTCAAAATTAATCAGCAAAAAATCATATCAAAAATAAACGTAATCTGCTAACCAAATTCATGAATGCAGAAAGATTGCAAGGAAATCAATCAGTAGCACAAAAAAATTGATAAATTAGAGCTCAAACAATACTTTGTATGGTTTATATCGATCAATCAATTGCATTTGGTACCAAAAATTAGGGTAAGATTATCATGAAAATGCAGAAAAATTATCAAAAAAAATTGCAGAAAAATTAGAGTTCAAACAAACATTTGGAACAAAAATCAAACCAGTTAAACGATTAAAATCTTTAACAATTGACAAATCGTAGAGGATGAAAGAGGGAGGAGAGAGAGATTACCTGAGAGTGAGAGTTAGTAGGGTTTTCGGGTGGGAGAATGAGAGAAGAGGCGTAAAATGAGTTAATTAGGGTTTTAAAACTGAGGCTTCTTATCTAAGCCCTAAAATAGACGGCTTAGATTTCACGAGTGTTTGAGTTCGGTAATGGGCTTTTTTTAATTAGGGTTGTATTGCGATTGATGATTGGGCTTTTTGGCCCCCTTATTCTTTGAGGTTGGCTCTCTTTTGTTTTTGGTTCTATGACAAAATTCGTACGAAGCTAGCTAGTATTAAAGGTGATTAAAAGTTCGGGTCGGGCCGGACCTTTGATATAAAATGCATGCCTTAGCTTGCAAAAAATGACAATCTTGTCGTAGAGCGGGCTTTTTGGGTTTTTTCTCGGGCTATTTTTTTGTTTGTCCAAACCCACCCTTTTTCGGGCCGAACATAATTGATCACCTCTAGAAGTTATAAATACGTGTGATTGTTTTTAGATGTCAAATTATTTTAAACTATTTACACACCCCGTTCAAGATTGGCCAGACACTTAAAAAAATATAATAGTATGGGCCCTCACGAGTTACATGAATAGCCTAATTAATAAATAAGTGGAATTGAAGTTGGGTTTATTAGATAGTGGGGGATAGCTCAAGTGGTTAAAGACTTAAAGTTTCCCTCCCGGTTCTAGTAGATCTTGTAATCGATTTTCATTACTCGCCCTTTTGGCTCTCTAAACACCAAAAAAAAAAAAAAAAATTGTGTTTATTAAACTATATAAAGATGGGTTAGGTTTGGTTTGAGCTATTTTCAACTTGTTTTATTATCAATCTAAATAAACCTAACTCGATTTGCCATATCAATCTACCATAATGTAAAGTGCCAAAAAATTAAACTCATCATCCACAAATGAAAATAACCAAAATGGATTTTCTTGACCTTGAATATAATTGAGGATTGAAAACGTTCAAAATTGAGGTACTTAGTATACATGTACCATTACATACGCGTGTTAATGTTTCTCAACACCATGTAAATCAAAACGGCTAGAGACCTCAAGTTTGGGATCTCGGAACATATGGAATTTACTACATAGAAAAATTAGTTTGCAAACAATATATAATGGAGCTCAGAGTGCCCAATTGCATAAAGTTGTTTTCAATGAATTAAGATTATGACAGCACCCTTACTTTTTTTTTTCTTTCAATTTATAAGTCACAACCTCTATTTTTATAAAACCACGCTGTGAATAGTTCACATGATGTAAGAAAACTCTAAAAAAATCGCGTTCTTTATGATGATCACGGAGTTCTAAATATAGTTAATTATGGATCTTACTCATTTCAAAGTTTTTTACAACGAATAACAACAAAAGTCTCCCTAAAGCGTAGTTATTATGATCTTACCTCATAAAATTATCAAGACAACTATTAAATTTTAGGGTAATTATCCCAATAGTCAACAATTAAAGTTCAAGGGTTACATTTTTTGAGCTGTCCAATCTAATTTTTTGATACAAACCTATGATTCAACCCAATTTGAACCCCAAACCCAAATCAATTTTACAGGCTCAACAAGTAGATAAAAAATAAAATTGGTTTTCTCTCCAAAATTAAGGAATTCATTCTAATTGTGTTATGGCTTTAATGTTCATAATTAATAAATAGATGCATCGGTTTAACCATTGCACATTGAGAGTTGTCATTCTTAAAAGTCAACCAAACCTTTTACCATAACCGTTTTATCAATATTAGATTATTTTTTTTTTGAAATATACCAATATTAGATACTTTATTTAAATTTAACTTTGACATCCTTGATCACTTTCTTATTCAATTTATGTGGAAACGTGTGGGTTTTGGACAAATAATTGTTACCAGAGTGTAAATATATTTTTTATTTGATATTTGAAGAAAACCAGAGTGTAATTAATTATGTAGATTTGTTGTTGGTTGGGAACGTAAATACAACTAGAAGGGGAAGCCCAGTAGCCCACCAACTTGTGATGTGGACCAGTTAAATTATCTTCGTGTACTTGGGCCCATATAAAGGATCAGATTCAGCCTCAATGACTGATTGGGTAGAGCGTTGAACATAATGGGCGTACCAAAGTAGGCGTTACAATCAAGGGAAAACACTTTTTTAAAAATTTTATTTTTTTAATTTATTAAATAAATAACATAGGAAGTTGCGGAAGATAAATAATGTAAACGAGATCATAAGAGTTATACGACTACAAGAATTTTCTTTAATGAAGAAAAAAAGTAAGGTAAATGGACTTATTGAAGTGACACCTCTTACAAATTAAGAGTCTGTTTTATTCACCTTATTTTCACTTATTTTAGGTGTAATAAGTTTAGATAAGTTCAGTTCAGAAAAAATAAGTGATAATAATAAGTGTTATAATCTAATAAGTTCAGATAAGTGAAAATCAGGTGAATATGACACACCCTAAGTCATTTCAACCATATTGTGAAATTATATACTCCATACTATTGCTACATGAACACATGAACACGCCATGTATGTTTCTTGGGTTAACCTCTTTGAAAAAAATTAACATAAATTTTAAACCTTTGTAAACAAGGAATATTGTGATGGGCATGGGCTAATGGGTGCAAATTCAACCTTTATACCATATGCTTTTTTCATATACTCGTATTTAAAAAAAATAAAATAAAAAAATAACGCTATCTATATTCGTGCTAACCTGTTATAAATACCATCCTCGTTCCTCCATAAACCTTCATCATTCAAGCCTTGATATCTACTATTTCATCCGAACGCTCAGAGTTTAAAAAAATCCACAACAAATCAATCATGGGCCTTAAGGTTTATCTTTCTCTAAATTTTTTCAATTCAATTATTATTCTCAGCATTGTTCGTGTTGTTAATTTTGTTTTTGCTTTGTAATTTTCATAATTCTATGATTTCATACATTTGATCTAAATCTATTTGCTGTGCAAGAAATTGACAATATTTTAATTAACCATTTGTTGTTTGCTTAATTTAAGCTATAGATCTGGATTTGTTTACGATGAACAAGATTAATGCTTGAAATGTTAAAATTTAATTTAAGTTGTAAGAATTATTATTATTATTATTTTATGTTTTTCACACAAAATTGTGGAGGAATTTCTCCTGAAATTGGAAAAGGAAGAATTATTGTAATGATAAATTAATTTCTAGGTTGATTTAGTGATAATAGATGGTTTTGATGGAGTTCACATCTTATTGGCCTTAGGGTTTAGTTGATGACAAATAAGACATGGTGTTCTGGTGAATCATATAGGTTGATCTGTGATTAGTGAATGGTTTTTGTTGCCTTAAAAAAAATTGAATGAACTATTATTGGAGGAACTCGCTCGTAAGCGAGCTTTAGCCCTCCATTGTTAGTTGAGGAGGAAAACTGGTGCAATTTGCTTGGTAAGATCGAGCCCCAGAAATGCCAAGGGTTATGTTAGTTCTTAAACCAATTGCCCCCTGGAAAACTGGTGCAATTTGCCTCAAAATTATAAATAATCACGGAATATCATCTTTGTATTGTGTGTTGTTTCTTTATTGGTGTTGAAAAGGTTATCGAAATGGCATAGATATATTAGATATCTTCATCTTATATGGGTTATGTTCCTACATGCTTCTATGTTTAATAATTCAACTTGTGAGGTTATATGTCGCAGGAAGACTTTGAGGAGTATGCTGAGAAGGTCAAATCCTTGCCTAGTTGTACCAATGAAGATTTGCTCATCCTCTATGGGTTATACAAGCAGGCCACAGTTGGAGATGTGAATACCGGTATACACACGTTTCATAATCCGTTTATCTTCTAGATGTCTTGAACTAATGTTTATATAACCCTTCACTGCTCCTTTACACTCTTGCTGCCTTTTTTTACCCCATTTTTCAGAACGCCCTGGTTTGTTTGATCCAAAAGGAAAGGCGAAATGGGATGCCTGGAAGGGTAATGAAGGTATAATAACGCAGAACTATGATTAATTTCATTTTCTTTCAGCTATCTTTACCTCAATTTAGTCAATACCTTGCATGATCACTCTTTTCGTGAACAGGAAAATCTAAAGATGACTCCATGAATGATTACATCACAAAGGCCAAGCAGTTGTTGGAGGCAGCTGGTCTTCCCGCTTGATGCTTGTTCGTGGCTAATATATATGAGCTCCATTCGTGTTGTTTCTTCCTAAATTGATCAAATTTGATTGCTGTACTTTATTAAGTCAAGGGAATGGAGTTGTATGAACCTTAAGTTGTAATCAAGGATCATAATATTTCAGTAATATCCACTTTAAAAATGCAGCTATTTTTTCGCTAATGATTGGTATTTGATACCCCCTCAATTTTATGTTGGCGAATCTTTGACGGCTAGCACTTTAGCGAGTGGGAAAAGCATCTTCAAGTGATATCTGTTGTTAAATGTTAGAATTAGTCTAATTGCCTAACAAGTTGAGCAATTTATGCTGCGCACATAAAATTACAAATATTGTCACTGAACCAGACCAAGGTTAATGTATTGCTCGATTTATATTTGCACAATTGAAAACAGTACTACAGATTTACAGTATACAATATCGAAACATCCTATCCCAGTAAGAAGAGTGCTGGGTTTCCTATAGAAGTAAAACGTTTGAGCATCAAATGACAAGGAAAATTGTAGGACTAGTAAACCAGGTTACCATTTTCCATCCAAAAAATCACTGTATACAATTAGCATCCAAATATAGTTTGGCTGATGCACAAGCTTCTCTAAATGTCACAGGGTCAGGGGGAACATCTGTTTCTAAGAAATTATTTACCTACCTACCTGATCCACTATCAACATGAAGATTTTGCATTTTTACACGACAATCCTAAGACCACTTCTTTGGCTTAAGGATCAGCAAAACACCAGGACTGATACATTAACATAGTTAGGAGTTAGCTGTAACTATTAACAAATGGATATCTAGGGCAAAAATAGTCTCTTGAACGAGAAGCACCATCCCTAGCTAGAATTCCTTCAAGATCTCCCATAATTCTGGCCAACCATACTTCTAAGTTTCTTTGGATTTCCTTGAAGTTGGTCCGAATGCTGTCAAGGGACCGTTTCATGGCAAGCTTTGTTTCAACCCCCAGCTCATCCCCAATACAACTAGTATATATCTCAGATTGTAATGTCATGAGCTTCTTCCCAGTTTCTGAGGCGCGTTGCTGGAGTTGAAATGCTTCAAGTAGAAACTCTGTTTGTCTCTGTGATCGAAACTCAGAACTCATTGTAGGTTCACTGGGATCACTAGCTTGCTGCAAGAACCAAGAATTGCACAATTTACAATCATGTACTTCATTATGCAAAAGACTTTAGATAGTTTAGATGATTCTAAAGTGATAAAAAGTTCAATGCTGTCCAGTGGATTCTTAACCCCACCTACACTTTTCTATATTCCCCTTTTTTTCTTAGGCTGAGGTTGGGGTTGGGACGTTGGGTCATGACTCATGAGTTGGGAAAGGGGGTATATATATACCTTGGAGAAAATAGCAAATCTAATTTCCATATTTCACTGGCTTGCTTGGTTTATGAAAATTATGACTTTCTTTCCATCTTGTTACGGAAAAACCTGATGCCATAGTGATGACACAATTTCAAAGTACGTGTTTCTCTTCATGTAATACCATTTGGTCCATCCAGCTTAATACCACATCTATAATGGTAAGAGGTGATGCTGGAAAATTGTAGAAGAAAACAACGGATACAGGTTGCATTGCTAAGGACATCCATTTCAGAGAAGATAAATGGGCCTGGGAAAAACTCTACAAGTCCAAAAGGAAGTTCAATCTCAGAGTTAGTTGGTGATGGGAGTAATAACTACTAAGCTTACAAAGTGGATAATATCTTTCCTTTTCTCAAATGAAGGATTAAGGGATTTCAGATACACATAAATCCATTGCCATTGTTGTCGTTAATAACTGCCTAATGCCTACACAATTGGTCTTTATAAGCTAGACAAAATCTCAAACCTAAAGACCAAGTCTAAAATTTATGCACAGGACAAAACTGCATGATTTGTGGACATAATTCTGAAACCCAATTGGTATAAAAAAAATCTCTTAGTCTCTAATTAGGCGGCAGGTTCTTAAGAAGAATTTACTCTAATCTTTTCCGGGGGCTAGGCTTTCAGTTAAGGACAAAAACCAGATTCTAGAGATAGAGTGCAGATAGTATTAGAGAAGCAGACAAAAAACAAACAAACTCTATTTTCAAGAAGAAACAGTAACCTTGATTAGCAGATCTAAAGAGCTAAACAAGCATTAGAATGATCAATATTACTCCGTACCATTCTCCTGCAAAGATCGTCAATCTTTCCGGCAAGGTCTTGATACCGCTTAGCTTGCTTTCTCATTGATGAGGCCACCTTTGGTGAATTGCTCTTCCCTACTTTTTCCAGATTAAGTAGCTCTTCCTCGAGCACTTTCAACTTGGATGGAACTCCTGTTGATTCACCATCAATCTTCCATGGGGACTCTCTCCTGCAAAGGAAGAAATTTTACTCTTTTACATGCTGATTATCCATCATCTCTTCAACTTGTGATTTACATGTCAGGAGGGGAGGTTTTACCTTACTACAAAATGCTTTACATGATGTGTGGGCTCAATCGAATTATATTGTATGTCCTGCTACAAAACAACATATGTAAGACTCTTTCTACCAGCAAAGTAAGCAGCAAAACAGCATATTATACACAGCATTTATTGATTATATGAACAAGCATAGCCAAAATTTTTGCTCATAAGATAAAATGATATTAGAGAATCTAAGCCAAGATGCACAATTCACAAGACTAGACAACTGCATATCTCTGAAACACAAAGAGGTGGCAAGAGGTGGGATACAAGATGGGACATAAACATCAAGAACAATAGAAATCCTCCTTTTTATTCTCCATTCTAAAGGCCAATATGGGGCACATGGTGCAACAGAATTTCCTATGTGGCCAATATCTGAAGTCTAAAATCTTCTCTCATACGAACATATTACATACTTCGTATACCATTACTTGTTGCTACAAGTATTAACATTTCAGTTTTCAGTTTGAGAGCAAAATAATGCTGGCATTATGCAGTTCATTCATGCAACTCAACTACGCAAGGGAAAGGATAATGGAAGTTTTAGGAGAAAAGTCTATGATTACAATATGATGGAGGCTCCACATAATTCTAGGCCAAGGACGGATCAAATATTACGAAGGAGGCATAACCAAATTTAAATTTACCCTACACAGTACACACACCACAGAATCAAAGTCCCACTTACAGCTGTAAACGAACACTATGATAGTCCAATCCAAAGACTAAACATTAAGACCCCGCTGTAAGGATAAAGAATTAATGATACCACCACAATAACATACAGGACATATCATTTACTTCACATGTTGCACAAGGGACAACGTTATATCCATAAAAATCATCATAATACGGAACAATAATTCATCAAAGACCAACAACTTGACTATTACTCAAAAGGGAGTACTTGCTTACATTTAGCCACATTCATAATGCATAACCTATTTTCTTAATCACAAAACCAATGCTAATCACATACCAACTGAAAAACATACATAAACACAAAGTTCATCCTGTTCGTTTCGAAGATTTACACAATCTCAACCTCACAAACTAGTTAGAAACTACTAGAGATAAGACATTAACGAAAAGGAAGTGTTAGAATCACATGAATACAATAAATTCAGCTTGAAAAATATCCATAATTACAACTGCCAAGTACAAACAACTTGAATTACATTGCAAAATTAAATCCAGCATTAATTATGTTGAAGAACAAAAGTAACAATTACACACAAAATTAAATTCCCTAATATTTACAGAATTCTGCTAAAATTAAGCAAGTGATGAGATAGAGAGAATTTTTTTTTAGCAAACCTGCCATAAATTAGGAGGAGAACGAGGTTCACCCCAGAATTTAGAACCAGAAGACAAGTAATTAGGATCAAACCCATCATTATAATCACCACTACCCAGATTCCCAAACATCAATTTCACACCACCATTTCCTTCATCTTCACCACCCCACTCTCTGTCCTCCCCACTTACACTCGCAAACCCGCCGCTCTCGCTTTCCGCGCCTTCACCACCACCGCCCATTTCATGGGTTTTGTGGCGGGACATGAAGTTGAGGAGCTCGTCTCGCTCCCCAACTTCCCGCCTCAGGTCATCAGACTCAGCAAGAAGCTGAGCCTCGCGGGTCTCGACCTCAGTGAGGCATGACCTGAGGCGGGAGATCTCTTCGGCTGATTCGTCGAGGCGGCGGAGGAGGCGACGCTCTTCCTGTTGCCAGGCGTTACGATGGGTGGCGAAGATCTCGACCACCCGAGCGTTCGCCTTGGAATCCTCCTGCCGCCTCGACCGCAGCTCGAAGAGCTCCTCCTCCGCTTTCCGAAGGCGGTGGAGGAGGTAATGGTTTCGAGACTGAAGAGTTGGCAGCAATGACATGACATTATCTGGTAACAATGACAAGAACATTGCAAAGCTAACTCCCAAGTAAGTTGAGTATAATGTCTGGGTTTCTTCCATGATTACACCATTTTTTTGCTGCTGTTGTTGTAATGATGCCGCCATTGAAAAGGTGAGAGAGAGAAAGTGAAGAGGAGAGAGAAAGAGAGAGTGAGAGAGAGTTTTAATGGGATTGGAAAATGTGATGTGTTCGGCTTTTAGCGTTTAGTTTTTGGTTTGGGGGGTTGGGTTTTTATCAGCTTTTTGATGGTCTCCTTTTCAATAGCTTTTTCTTGCTTATTTAGATTATAAGAGCTTTTTTGGCCATATCCTTTGGTTTCATCAACTTTCAACAACTCTAAAGAGGTGTTTGTTTATTGGTTTAGCAAGCTTGCTTTTTGTTGGCTTTAAATATGGCATGGTGACATAAACATGGAAAAAGGAAGCAATTCATTAACCCGTTTACCTTATTTTTGATTATCTGATTTATTCTTATTTTTTTATCGGATTTAAACTCATTCTTTTAATTTGATTTGATCAAAATTTACTTATTCTAATTTGATTGTATAATTTGACTAAATTTTGGACTTATATATACGCTAATTCATGAAGGAATAAAAATATATTAAATGGATTCTTATTATATTTGCATTAATGTATATCACATACGAAGTATGAAATTTTCAAAAAAAAAATATAGTCATCATGGATTAAAAAGCTTTAACAATAAAAAGCCGCACATGAAACTAAAGTAAGATATGAACTTCTTTAAATAGGTATGGTATAAAATAAGTAATAAGATACTTAAATATGGTGAATTGAACCTTGCTTAAGTTTTGGGCATTTAACCGTGTCAACACATATGGATATCAATTAAATTAGTTCATACTCATTATGTATCTAAATAATTATATCAATTTGACTTTTGCATTATTCACATTTTAGGTAAATGACCAATATTAAAATGAAAAGTTTTGCTTACTTAGTCACAACGTATATGCATGTAATATCAACTTTTTATTATTTTTGCTAATAGACAATCTAAGACATTAATGGTCAAAGTTATGCTTTGGCATGCATATTACTCCAAACACAAATTTTTATACGTGGCTGACCACATCGTGTGCCCGGGGTTACTTATTCAAAGGTTACTCGGCCGGTCAAGATTTACTCTGACAGTCAGAGGTTACTATCACACAGATTATGCGCTAACCGACTGAGAAACTCCACAACAAGTAACCCTTGACCGACTGAGTAACCCCTGAATAAGTAACTCCATCGAAAACGCGCTAACCGACTGAGTAACCCTAAAATAAGTAACCCTTGACCGACTGAGTAACCCCTGAATTAGTAACCCCGGTCACACGGTGTGGCCAACCATATAGGAAAAGCACCGAGCTCAAAATGATGCTTATATTTTGTTGAATTAGTCAACTTATATGTAGATTTTACTTATTTGATTTTGTGGTTGGCTTTGAATTAGAAAATACTTGTAATTTTATTATTTTTTTTTAAAAAAAAAAGGAAAATACTTGTAATTTTGCAAACAACAAATATAGCCTTGGCCCTTGGGTATCTAGGGATAAAATAAGCATTTTCTACAAAAATACAGAATTTTATGGTGCAAATCCGGCCCATCTTAAAGCAAGCTAGAACTGGGCCGAAAAAAACGTTCAGAAAATACGAAAAAAAAACTCCCAAAAGTTTATGACGCATTGATAAATGCATTTTATTTTTCAATTTGAGGCAAAAATTAAAAATCATTTTGAACCGGGCTCAAATTTTAAACCAGCTAATGAAGAAAAATTATTGAGCCACAATTTTTATTTGGAAATTCTCAAGTTCAAATTCAGTGTATCGAGTATCTTACTCCTCAGGCAAGTCTCTTATCATTTCTCGCGATTTTAATTTAGAACTATTCAATTACTATTATTGCTGCAAATTGGTAGTTTAAATTCTATTGAATTGATAAATTTTCGATTTTCAATAATATTATTTAATGGGAAATGGAATTTTTAATCCTTGAATTTATGTATCTATATTTTGTTTGAAATTATAAAACAAAGGGAAAATTTCATTTTTAAGCGTATCGAGTAATAGAAGTTTTAAATTGCTGTGTAATGGTGTTAATTTTGGAAATATTTTCTGGGAAATTGGAATTATTTTTGGAATTACAATAATTTGATGAACTGGGTATTGTTTAATTTTAATTGGGTGATTGCTAAAATGCTGATTACAGGTATATAATTGGGTGAATGAGTTGCTGGGAAAATTTGGTATTGATTGATTAGTGGAGATGACTATTCTCAGCAGATTCTTCCACAAAAGACCCCCTGATGGGTTGCTTGAATTTTCTGATAGAGTTTATGGTGAGGAATTTGTTTAATTTTCTGTATTTGAAGCTGGTTTTATGAATCTATGGTGAATTGGTGATAGCTCTAATTTGTGGTGATTTTGGCTTAGTTTTTGAATGTTTATGCTTCTTGCTAAATGGGGTTTAAGTGTTGTTCTATGCTGTTCTAAATTCGAAGTGTATAGATGGAAGCATTGTTTGAAATTGTGATTTAACTGACTGCTGGTGTTGACATTGGTCCATTTCACGGTTTTTGTGAATTTACGAATGAGATTTAGCTGTATACACGCTATTGAGGTTTAATTTTGGGTGTATAGCTTGTTTACCATTCTCGGTTACTAGTTTTGTACACGATATGTGTCCATGTGTCATACTTGGTTGATTTATGACAACTTTGCATGCTTTGGTCCAATATGAAGAGTCAAGTCACTCAAGTGTCTATATCCATGCTGGAGTTTTTTTTTTTTTTTTTTGTTTTTGTATTTGATAAGGGTGTATGAAATAAAAGCATACAATCCAAGTGACAAAGGTCAATGTTGCCTTGCAGTTTTTGATACTTGTTTTTCTACGGACGTTCTGCGGGATGGAATTTACCAAATTTACCTCCATGAGGTCATAAATGAATTGCGTGAAGCATTTCCTGCTTCGTCCTTTCTTGCTTTCAATTTTCGAGAAGGCCAGAAGCGCAGTCTGTTTGCAGAGACAGTGAGTGGATATGATGTTATGGTACTGGATTATCCAAGGCAATATGAGGGATGCCCCGTCTTGCCATTGTCACTAGTACATCACTTTCTTCGTGTTTCTGATGGTTGGCTGTCTGGGCGTAATCAGCATAATATTATTTTGCTGCATTGCGAGAGAGGTGGTTGGCCACTTTTGGCATTTCTCTTGGCTAGTTTTTTGATTTTTAGAAAATTGCATAGTGGTGAAAGGAGGACGATTGAAATGGTCCATCGCGAGGCACCAAAAGGTTTTTTAAAGCTGTTATCTCCCCTAAATCCGTTTGCGTCTCAGCTCCGCTATCTTCAATATGTTGCACGGAGAAATTTATCTCCGGAGTGGCCACCCCCTGAGAGGACACTTTCCTTGGATTGTCTTATCCTTCGAGGAATTCCTAGCTACGATAATTTCAGTGGCTGCAGGCCTGCCATCCGCATCTTTGGCAGAAACCTACATAATAAGGATGGCTTATCAACTCAGATGCTCTTCTCTATGTCTAACAAGAAAAAGTGCCTTCGACATTACCAACAGGTTTGTGTTTATAGGACACATCCAATGTTTTCTTTTATCTCTACTACCTTTTGCTGCTGATGTGGATAATCTTTTTCTGCAGGCAGACTCTGATGTGATCAAAATTGATATCCAGTGTGTGGTTCAAGGAGATGTTGTACTTGAATGTGTCCATCTAGACTTGGACTTAGAAAGAGAGGTTATGATGTTCCGAATAGTGTTCAACACTGCTTTTATTAGGTCAAACATCTTAATACTGAATTGTGAAAACTTGGATATTCTCTGGGATGCCAAGGAACGATATCCGAAAGGTTTTCGAGCTGAGGTTTGTGCATTGAATGGGTTGCATAATACTTGAGAGTTTGAGTATTTTCACTATTTCTTGCTGACTTGTTTGTTTCATTTGATGCCTAATTTAAAACACAGGTACTGTTTGGTGAAATTGAGAGCTTGTCTCCCTTAAAAGAACCAACTGCTGTTTTGAATGGTGAAGAGAGGGGTGGATTGCCTATGGAAGCATTCTCAGCAGTCCAAGAACTATTTAATGGTGCAGAATGGGTTGATAATAGTGATGACGCTACTATGTGGTTGCTCAAGCAACTTTCTGTTTTACAAAACAGGTTAAGCTCGAATACATCGCCTGCTGATTCAGAAGAGGCATCGAGTGTTGCTGATTCAGATTTTATGGAAACTGAAAACTTCTATGAATCATCAAATGCAAGTATGACAAATTTTCTTGATGATCCTTTGTCTCATGATTCTGCGTCTGATGAAGCATCAGATCTTCTGTCCAATCCTTCTGGAGATAGAAATTTAGTCCAACAAATTGTTAATTCGGACCTTGGCAATGGTGCTTTACATGATTTGCCCACTCAGCTGGAAAATGTAGCACTGGCTGATGTTACTCCATTGGTTCCAAATCAATCTCTAATTGATGTCAACGAAAGTGCAGCTCCACCTTCTATTGTCCCTGATACAAACAAGCAGGAAGTTTTGTCAGCACAATCAAGTACAGAATTGCCTCCATCTCCAACTCCTACTTCTTACATGAGTACAAATCCAGAACCTCAATTGCCTATCCCACTGGATGATAATAGTAGCTCTGATCCTATTCAGTCACTTCGTAATCCTCCACCACCCCCACTGCTGCCTCCACTTCCCTCTGGGGCTACCACTAAGAAGTCTGTACCTCCTCCTCCTCCTCCTCCTCCTCCACCTCCTCTGCCCTCCTTTGGGGTTACAACTAACAATTCTGTACCTCCGCCCCCTCTTGAGGCTACAACTAACAAGTATGCACCTCCTCCACCTCCACCACCGCCTCCACCCCCTTTTGGGGCTACTACTAACAATAATGTACCTCCTCCACCACCACTGCCTCCACCCCCTTTTGGGGCTACAACTAACAATAATGTACCTCCTCCTCCACCTCCGCCTCCACCCCCTTTTGGGGCTACAACTAACAAGAACATACCTCCTCCTCCACCTCCTTTTGGGGCTACAGCTAACAAGAACATACCTCCTCCTCCACCACCTCCTCCACCTCCTTTTGGGGATACAACTAACAAGAACATACCTCCTCCTCCACCACCTCCTCCGCCTCCTTTTGGGGCGACAACTAAACAATATTCACCTCCTCCACCACCTCCACCTCCACCTCCTTTTAGGGCTACAACAGACAAACTCATACCTCCTCCATGCCCCCCTCCGCCGCCACTTCCTCCTCGTTCTTCAGCACTTGGTCAAGGAGATTCTTCAAAGACATATGTCCCTCCGCCCCCGCCGCCGCCTCCTCCACCCCCCGGCTTAAGTAATCATTCGAAGGGATGTAATCCTCCTCCTCCACCACCACCTCCCCCATCTCACGGTCTAAGTAATTCTGCAAAATTAAGTGCTCCTCCTCCTCCCCCTCCTCCCCCATCATTAACTTGTCCATCTCCACCTCCGCCTCCGAAAGGAATGCCTCCCCCTCCACCTCCACCACCACCTCATTCCAATAATTCAACAAGGCCATCTCCACCACCCCCACCACCCCCACCTTCAACCAAAGGTAATTCCACTATTACATCTACACCAGCACCTCCTCCACCACCTGCACCTTTGCAACAATCATCAAAAGCTGTCCCACCTCCACCTCCTGCACCAAAAGGTCTTGCTCCCGGGCCGCCTCCACCACCTGCACCTAAGAGCATGGGTGCACCACCTCCCCCTCCATCTGTTGGAAGGGGGAAAATCTCTGTAGGGATGGCTGGTTCAAGAAATAGACCTGCCTCTACAACCACTAAAAAATCTTCATTAAGACCTCTGCATTGGTCAAAGGTCACTCGAGCAGTTAAGGGAAGTTTATGGGCTGATACACAAAAGCAGGAGAGTCAGGCAGCGTATGTACACTGGTTTATCTTCTTTATATTTGAGTTATTTTGTTCTTGTAGCTACGTCTGCACTTGTGCAACTTCAATATCTGTGTGTTCTTTTCACTCTAAAGTTTGATTGCATAAACTACTGCAGGGCTCCTGAGATAGATATATCAGAACTTGAAAGCTTGTTCTCGGCAAATACTGATGCAAGTGGTGGGGGTAAAGTAGGCGTTCGACGTGGCACTAACATTAACAAACCCGAAAAAGTGCAATTGGTAAGAGATATTGCTCTATTTTTTAATTTATGTCCCTTGTCTATGAAAATTCGACTTTGTGGGCTGAACATATGTTATTAAGCATTCTAGTATGTCATTTATTGCATTAATCAGCGTTCTCGTAAGACCCTTATCCCATATTCTTTATTTGTAAAGTCCGGAGAGGCAAGAGAGTAGCTATTATGAAGGTTTGGTAGATAGTTTTAATACATTCTTTTGACCTGAGGACTTTTGATTCCCAATGTTTCCTCCCGAACTCTTAAAATCTGTCTGTAGGGTGTTAGCCTTATGCATATTGAAATTATTGCTATGGACCCCTGGGACAAAATTTCTATTTGAAAACTTTGCTATGTGGTTTTTGAGAAATATCAAAGCTATTTTCATCTTTAATTTAGAAATTTGGGAAAGAAAGAAATTTATCTAGCAAATTGTTGATGTCCATGTATTTTTATGAAAAAATAAAGCTTGTATTAATGATTTATTGCCAATAGTTTACCGCTCCATGCTGTGGATGCCTTTGTGTGTGTGTGTGTGTGTGTTTATTTCCTCAATCATAATCTTCTCTTTTTATGTCAATGGGAAGCCAAGAAATGAAAGATACTACTACATGGTCATAAGCTTAAGTGCAACTATCTTATAAGTGTGCATAAATGGTGACCTGTGAGGGCTGTCTTTGAGCTTCTTCCTATTTGTGAAGTTACCTACAATTTCTGACTAGTTTTAGTCTGGTTTGAAGTTCAAAATGCTATATCCATGTCTTTCAATATCCTGCTTGAGTACTATGAGATGGTTTGGCCTAAAATGAGCAGGAAATCTTAACAACTAGGATGCAGACTTTTATGGTAGAGTCAATGGGGTTTTCTTTAATCTGATTGTACTGATTTCATTTATAGTGTCTGGAGGTACCTAGGTTTGTATTTGACTTGCTTTCCTGTTGAATTTTTAGCTTAATCAGATTTGAATTGGTAAATGGTAACCAATAAATTAATGTGGGCATCATTGTTCTTTATGTTTTCTTTAAATTTGTTTGTTTTTCTGTCTAAAAATTCTAAATCTGAAGTTGATTGTCAAGTAGTATAAAACTACCCTCGTTACTGAAGAGGATGTTTCCAAAATTCTTGAATACTATAATGGTCTATTCTAACACTTTTATCTTGGTTTTATCCTTTCACAGGTCGATTTGCGTAGAGCTTATAACTGTGAAATAATGCTTACAAAGATAAAGATGCCTCTCCCAGATATGTTGGTAAGCTTGTATGTTTAGCATACTTATGGTCAGGATGCCTATCTATTTTGTGGAGTCAGCTGTGACATTTCTTTACCCTTCCCCATTGGCTATACCTATGGAAATGATCTCTCTCTCTCTCTTCAAATGTGAAATTAGACCCGAATTGAAGGACTACCTTAGTGTTGTTATGGGCCCGGTTTCCGTTTGGTCCCCAATCAGGTTATTCTATATGACAAATTATCGCTTTTAAGTAGCTCTCATTTGAGTATTGGACTGGGTTGGGACTTGGGAGGATACACCATACACATTCTCCTTTTCTCAGTATGATCTTTAATTCTGGCAAATATTTATATAATATATTTGACAATACACCTCTTCTTTGAATTACACATATAATGTTTTTATATATTATAGTTTATATCTTGCAGAGTGCTGTTCTTGCATTAGACTCTTCAACACTGGACATTGATCAAGTTGAAAATCTGATAAAATTTTGTCCCACAAAAGAGGAAATGGAGACGCTGAAGGTATTTTTTTTTGGATGAATGTATTATTACATTTTTCTTTTTTCTGTCATGATGAAGTACTTGTGTAGTTTGATGGATCATTTTGTTGAATGAATGTATTATCACATTTATATTTACTAGGACTTGTGTTGATCAGTTAAATCAAAAGAACTTTTGTATTCTACAGCTTATCTTATTCTAGCCTTTTCTTTCATTACTTTTTGTTCTAATGGTTAGGCCCTTCAGACCTACATCTAGAAGTTAACTTTGGGGGAAGGGAAAAGTAAACTTGTAGCCCAAACGGTGTATTATGTTCTAAACCAATGCTTTCTGTAATACATGCAAGTTTCTTATATGATTTACTGGTTAAGATTCTCATGAACATAGCCTGTTTACAATAATACTCGAATAAATCAACAGATTCTCACATTTGAATACCCACTTACCAGGGGGTTAATTCATGAATAACATTGTGGGTTGGCTGTATATCATCGAATGGTATCTGAATTCCTTCCATTTTTGTATCATTAGCTTTCTGATCATGGTATGATGCTATTGTTACATAAATCTAGCTTTAATTTGCTTGATATTTCTTGCCTTATTTTTTTCCTCTGTTTATGCTGTCCAGAATTACAATGGGGATAGAACTATGCTTGGGAAATGTGAGCAAGTAAGTTTTGGAATTGGAATGCATTTAGTGTTGGGCGACACAAATCATTTGTTTTACCTCTGAAAATGCATTTTGCCATGAACATTTCAGTTTTTCTTGGAGCTGATGAAGGTCCCACGAGTTGAATCCAAATTACGAGTATTTGCTTTTAAAATTACATTTTCTAGCCAGGTATTTGGCCTTTATATACGATAATTAACACGTTTGTGTCTATTTAGTCTTGTTCTAGTTTTTCCAGTAGCTTTATGTATCATGTGATCCATATAGGTTAGTGATTTGAAAGGCAACTTGGATACCATTAATGCTGCTTCACGAGAGGTACATTTAAATTAAACTCGTAAGATAATATTGTTGGCCGGACTCATTTCCCAGCTCTTAGTTAATTAATCTGTCTTGCCAATACTTATAGGTAAGAGAATCTGTGAAGTTGAGACAGATAATGCAGACTATTCTGACTTTAGGAAATGCATTGAATCAAGGCACTGCTAGAGGTAGAGATTATATTTTTTTTTTTTTTTTTTTTTTTTTGTTTTTGGTAATTATAATATGTCTAAGTTGATCATCATCTTCTAAAAAAATTTATATTTCAACTTGTCAGGTGCTGCTGTTGGATTCAAACTAGACAGTCTTCTTAAATTGTCTGATACACGTGCCAAAAATAATAAAATGACCTTAATGCATTACCTGTGTAAGGTATGTGACTGAAAGTATATTGGTACTTTTGGTAGTTGTAAAGTCTCTTTATTATGTAATGTGTCATACTGATCTTAGACTTTTTTTAAGTCATTGCTTACAAATCACCACTGTTGAGTATAAATCAACATTGTCAAACCCTCTACTGCTTTTTGGCAAACTGTTCTGAACCTTTACCACTGCTCTTTCTGCTGTCACAAGCTCATGAGTTCACCTTAAAGTGGAAATCCAGAACATTTTATGAATACTGACATTGCACTCATTGCATCTTTTGCCTAAGCAGAATGGTCTTATACTCTCAATCCCATAGTTAAAAAAATTATACTACGTATCTTTGATCTTCTTCCTTCTTATAATGAAAAATAATTTTAATTGTTTGTGCTTGCTGCTAGGAGCCTAGGACAATTAATATTTCTATGCTGTTGACAACTTAAATATTGAAAATAGTGCATTTGTTTTTTTCAAGCTTCTAGCTGAAAAAATGCCAGAGTTGCTGGATTTTGACAAGGATCTTGTTCACTTGGAAGGAGCTTCAAAGGTTGGCTTATTATGCTACACCTTAGAACATTTACATCTTATTAGTTCTTCTGTAGTCTGTTTTGTCCATAGTTTATATCTTTTTACTAATGTGTTGCTCTGGTCTTTGATTTTAACAACCAGATACAATTGAAGTCATTGGCTGAAGAAATGCAAGCTGTGAGCAAAGGCCTTGAGAAGGTTGAGCAGGAACTTGCTGCATCAGATAATGATGGAGCTATCTCTGCAGGCTTCCGGCAGGTGAGAGGGAAAACCTTATTTGTTGCTATCTAAAGCTTTGTATTGTTTCATATTTCAGAAGTATATTCCACCAGGTGTAGCCTTGATTTTAAAATAATGTGCATTGTCAATTTGTAATTTGCTGGTGAGCCGGCCACGCTAGAGATCCCTTGTTTCAAAGTTTTTACTATAACTTTAATGCTGAAATAGCATAAGATATCGCAAGAAAAGAAAAGGCTATCAAAAGGGTAGTTTAATAAAGTAAAGGGTTGTTGAAACAGAAAACTGCCATGTATTTGAGGATTCCCATAATGGAATATGACATAGGCACATAGCTGATGATAATGAGGGAAATTTCTTGATGCTTTTGCGAACTGGCTTAATGCCCTTAGGCATTTAAGTCTTTTGTTGTAGGATACAGTGTTTTAGCTCTCGGGCAAGTGAGGCTGTAATTTCAGACTGAAGGCTTGGAACTAAATTTGGGGAAGAAAGCTAAGAAGTAATTTGAAAAGCTCACTGGCAGGGTGAACACCAAAGTCAAGATATTTAGTGCTGTTAAAATGCAAGGATCTTTCATGCTGAAACTTGCATCATGTAAAAACTTTGAGTCTTGTACATAGACCAAATGATATAGGCCACATTTCTGAATTTTGAAAGATTTAGCACAACATTTAGCTTACATATTTGTAATGCTAGTCTGCAAAGAACTATTGCAGTATATTCATTTTAACCTCTGGGTGAATGACCAAGCTTATGATTCATGCTTGTTTAAGTATTAGCTATGAAACTTCCCAAGATCATGCTATTCTGACATCAGACTATCATTATTAAGAATATGCATGGAGAATATTGACAAAAGTAACCTTGGATTCAAAATTTTATTGTTCATTATCTTTATGCTATCAGTTGAATTCAAGGCTATCACTTTCAGGCCTTTTAATTTCTCAATTATTATTTCCAAGCCCATATATATGGGTTGTTTTTTTTCTGTCCTTGCATACTGTATACAGTTTGTTAGGATTGAAATGTACTGTTTATATGATGGTCATAATTCTTGGCTATTCAATCATCAATGTTTAATTTAATAAATATATCTACAAATTTGAAATATAATTGTCATGTTGCCTGTTGCCTTGTCAGGTTTTAAAAGGCTTTCTATATACAGCTGAAGCTGAAGTCAGGTCTCTAACCACATTGTATACAGAAGTGGTAGGTCCTCTGTACAGTTGTAATCGGTGAGGGTTCTAACTTTATGAAGTTATCTGATTTGTGTATCATAATATGATTGCAGGGAAGAAATGCAGATTCGCTTTGCCAATACTTTGGGGAGGATCCTGCTCGGTGTCCGTTTGAACAAGGTTTGATTTGACATATTTATTGACTCTGTTGGTCTCTTTTTCTAAATGCGAATTGCAGATTTATGGCTATATTATTTTTCTATATTAATGAGCCTCAATTGACAACTTTGAAGGATGTCTGACTTTGTTAAGCTACTTGCAATGCCTTGAACTTGTTAGATTCTTTTAGGAAGCAGTGATAAAATGGCTGGCTTCTACAAACCAAGGAAGAGAAAACAGGAGATTAATGATTTTGAATTTAGATTAATGGTAACTGGTTAGGCTGAATAGTTTTGCATGAAGTATGGAACGACTGATATACTGGTCAACCCCTGCTTATACCTACAAAACCTGTTGGAATTATTGAGTCTTCAGGCTATGACTTTTCTTTCCAGAGTCCAAAATTTTTCAGCTAGTATTAAAAGCTAAATGCTATATGTGTGTCATCAGCCGCACACAAGTAGTCACCCAATGTGGGATGTGGGCTCGATGGCACACAGATTGTGAAGCAGGAGATTATGTGTGGTATTAGCTCATATTCTGCGAAAAGCAGAAAACACCTAGGTTTTCCCTATAGGCAGTAGTGGGTATAGGCGTATAGCATTCCTTCACATAGCCTACATTAAGCAACATGTTTTTTTTGTCACAAATTCTGACCCTAGTACTTGAAAAAACTCATGCTTGTATCTCCACGCATATTTTATTAGCATTTTTCATGCCTACACTATACCTTATGTGCTCATGTTCTTCACCTTGATGGCGGAAAATTGTAGTTTCTCTGGAGTTTCTACTCATCTCTCTTCCGACCAATATCATGAAAATTGCTCACTACTATCTTTGATTGTTACTTTTAGAGACAATTTTCACATTTTCCCCCTGCATACGTGTATCAATGTACTAAAAATGCTTGCTTGTTGAATAACTGATATTTTCCTGCTTATTTGAACTGAATTACCTGACCCAGACCTGATTGTTTCTGCAATATAATAAATTTGATGACCCAAACTATAATTGACTTAAAAGCAATCCAAAAACTAATATGACTAATATTGATTGGTTATCATAAATTTAATTATCAACCACAATATGATCTGGGCCCAAATTTACTAGAATTGAACCAAATGACTCAACATCCAAATTTGGCTAAAACACTAAACTTTTTCCACCTCTAATATTTTTCTGATTCTTTCTGCAGTGACACAAATACTGTTCGTCTTTGTGAAGCTGTTCAACAAATCTCGAGAAGAGAATGCACAGCAGGTTGAAGCCGAGAAGAAGAAATTGGAAAAAGAAGCTATGAAAGAAAAAGCAGCCGCCACTTCTGCTGCAAAAAAGGAAGGATTGGATCTTAACAGGTCAAAACTTAATCCCGTTAATAGAAGACAAACAACACGAGAGATTGAGAGGTGAAATAAATAATAAAAGAGATTGAGAGATGGAAGCTCCTCCGTCCTTTGTCTTTTGAAGATTCTGGTTTGTGTCCAGAAGTCAGGGTCTCAGATCATGCATGCTGAGGACCGATTCACATGAAGCCAGTTAATGCGGTTCTGCTCCTGATACTCCGTAATCTCAGGGGTTCATGACTAGTGCAAAAGATCTCAAAGAACAGAAGTGAGTTCCTGCAACTAAAGGTCATTACATCGCTTGTTAGGCATCTTTTTTTGCCTCTTAATGCCCCTGCAATTTTCTTTTCTTCATATCTTAATTTTCATTATTTGGTTAGAATATCAATGCTTACTGTGTATATTGGGTGTACATTCTGTGTAATTAAGCGTTAGCATAGTAATGAAATGGTTTACTCTCTTCTTCCCTTTCATTAGTCTTCCCTTCTTATTTCAACTGTATCAAGTTATAACAAGTATTCCGTGAATATTATTACAGTACATTATTTAGGAGTACTTCTATGAGCCTGTGCATCCGAGGTGCAGCTTACATGGTACTATTTATTCGATCGCAATGCAACAATCTTTTGATATTAGTCGGTTATTCTCTTTTATAGTTTATCAAGAGATTTTTCTATGAATTCATACTTGTTATATGATTAATAAAGGTGAAAAGTTGCTCTGTATCAGTTAATACATTTCAAAATAAAAAATCAGTTTGGTAAAAAAAAAATTTACTGTTTTGGCTGCCATGCTTGTTTTTGGATTTCATACACTGAATTGATCACGTCAAGTCCTCGAAAATGGTAATTAATTACATCAAATTACAACTATAAATTAAAAATAGGCATGAAAAAAGTACTTTGTATTATAAGTTGTTAATGAGAGAGTATCAGAAAGAATCTAAAGAATCTTGGCTCCACATTAATGAAAAAACAAGTACTCAAATATTGATTTTTCTAACTTTGACAAAAAGTATCTTGATTGTGAGTTGCAACTTCCCAATCATGCAAGATTCCTTTCTCATATATGTGCAACCAAAAGATCTCCCTCCCCCCAAAAAAATTGTTGACTTGCTTTCTCCAATCATTCAACGTCGAAGAATTCTTATTTAATCCCGTAAATACAAATGAACTGAAACATCCAATTTCATGTATTTTTATAATAATCGCATAATACGTCTAAATATACATAGAATATAAATATATTCCACTTTGATTAGACTAAAAAGTGGAATATATATATAAATCACTAATCAAGAAAACCATACATCATAGTTAAAGCAGTGTAACTAGTTAAGGTATCAATGGAAACAAAGTGTCCTCCATTTGGATTTGCAGGGAAATATTACCTAAACTCAGAAGGTAGTTGTGTAAGGCAAACTAGCTTCTTTGGTGGAAAGCCAGTGCTAAATCAAGGTGTTGGCTACTCTGTTATTTTGGGTTTTGGTGCTTTCTTTGCTGTCTTCACCTCTTTTCTGGTATGTCACCCAAACTCATTTCTAACAATTTTTCGAGCGCTAAATACGCGTTTGTTATGGTACGATAAAAAAGGCCATACTGGACTAGCTTAGGCACCTCTCGGGTTAGTTTCACCTGGCTAGATTGAGTAGATTCCACTAAGCTAATATCTTCATTAATTATCTCTTATGTGCGATATGTCTCAATAATGTCCCATTGTACGTGTCATCTTGTGTTCCGCTATTGTAAGTGTGCCATATAATGATATTAAATAACTTATGCTAACTTGGTGATGTACCTAAATAATATAGAGTTGTGAGACAAAATAGGTATGTAATACGACTATACGAGTACTTTGTGTAGGATACATAACATAAAATATAATCTTAAACTCATGTTTATCACCCCGTATTCTGCACCTGGTTCGTGTTCATATGTAGGTGTGGCTGGAGAAACGATACGTTGGTTCTCGTCACACATCAGAATGGTTCAACACTGCTGGCAGATCAGTAAAAACTGGGCTCATCGCCAGTGTCATTGTCTCACAGGTTTATTTTTCATTTGCAAATCTTACTCTTTCAGGAATAATTAGCTAATTAATTTCATTTTAATATAACAGTATTTAAATTATGTAATTCCATCATATTTGCAGTGGACATGGGCTGCCACAATCTTGCAAAGTTCAAATGTTGCTTGGCAGTATGGTATCAGTGGTCCTTTCTGGTATGCTAGTGGTGCTACTATCCAGGCATGTTTATCTTTCTTTTACTTGGCGCAAGATTTAGCAAATTAGTACTCCCTCTGTCCAGGAATAACTGTGACAGTCCTTAGAGATGATTACATACAGGTCATGTATATATGGGGTACAGTTCGGGTTTGAAGTCTTCCAGACTATCTAAGATGGATCAATTTAATAATTTTGTTAACGAAATTTTTTGCAGGTGATTTTGTTTGGGATAATTGCAATAGAAATCAAGAGAAAAGCTCCTCATGCTCATACAGTCTGTGAAATTGTGAAGGCTAGGTTCGTAATATGTTACATGTACATGTACTCATTCAATGCCGTAAATATTCATGTGTATAATGAAGTTGTGTTATTTCTTTTTAATCTTATATATGCATTATACATTAAATCTTTCCGTATTGTTTTGTTTATGATTTCGCAGATGGGGAACAGCTGCTCATGTCGTATTTTTAATCTTCTGTTTCCTCACAAACATTATAGTCACAGCAATGCTACTTCTAGGAGGTTCTGCTGTTGTTAATGCACTTACAGGAGTTAATCTATATGCTGCTAGTTTCTTGATACCCCTTGGAGTTGTTATCTACACACTTGCCGGAGGACTAAAAGCCACGTTCCTTGCAAGCTATATACATTCAGTGATTGGTACACCACTTTCAAGAAAATTTTATCGTGTTTGATATTAGATTATAAGATTATTGAATCATGTACGTACACAGCAATGGTGCCATAAATTTAATTTGACGATTCCTAGAAGATAAGTTTACAAGTTTTTGGCAACGTTGTTGGTTGGGAAGTTAAGGCTTAACATACTGTTATTATCAGTGACATTAGTTTACCAACAGATTAATAGTTTTTTTTGGTTGTAAATTGCAGTGCATGTGGTGCTGGTAATTTTTGTGTATCTAGTTTACACAGCGAGCAAGGAACTTGGTAGTCCTGCTGTTATATATGAGCGATTGAAAGAAGTTTCGAGCAGATCAAGACTATGTATGGAGCCTATTTCCCATGATGGTCAATCTTGTGGTCCGGTGGATGGAAATTATAAAGGTTCTTACCTCACCATGTTGAGCTCAGGTGGACTTATCTTTGGGATTATTAACATTGTGGGAAACTTTGGGACCGTCTTTGTCGACAATGTAAGTACTAGCATACAGGTTTTGTTCATTATTGGTCTTTGTTTGAGCTTATCATATGTAAAAGTACAGATGATCATCTATGTAAACGAGTTAATTCAATTTACTGCTCGAATATTATAATGTTACAGGGATATTGGGTTAGTGCAATAGCAGCAAGGCCTTCATCAACACATAAGGGTTATTTGTTGGGTGGTTTGGTATGGTTTGCAGTGCCATTCTCTTTAGCAACGTCGTTAGGGATTGGGGCTCTTGCTCTGGATTTGCCTATTAATGCGAGTGAAGCTATCCATGGCCTTGTTCCTCCTGCTACCACTGTTGCTTTGATGGGCACATCAGGATCTGTCTTGATCCTCACTATGCTCTTTATGTAAGTAGCTAACAGAGAAGCCGAATTTTGTGTATTATGATAACTTCAGTTTAGTCTACAATTCTAAATACAGATTCAATACAATTCTAACAATTTTTATGCCAATTTTCATTTTCTCAACTACTCGTAGAACTTTTCATTTTCTGTTTTATGAGAAGCTAATCCTAAGTTATACCATGTATTTGTTGGTTAGGGCTGTAACATCAGCAGGATCAGCCGAGTTGATAGCAGTCTCATCACTATGCACATATGACATCTACAGAACTTACATAAACCCAAGTGCGACAGGAAAGCAAATCCTCAAAGTTTCAAGAATAATAATCCTAGCATTTGGGTGTTTCATGGGAGTACTAGCAGTGATACTAAACAAAGCAGGGGTTTCACTAGGTTGGATGTACTTGGCCATGGGAGTTTTCGTTGGATCAGCAGTTATGCCCATCGCGTTTTCTCTCCTGTGGAGGAAGGCAAACTCCATAGGAGCCATCCTAGGAGTAACCATTGGTTGTATTTTAGGTGTCATTACTTGGGTGACAGTAACAAAGATCGAGTATGGGGTGGTGAATCTTGATACAACAGGAAGAAACGCGCCTATGCTTGCAGGGAACCTTGTGTCAATTCTTAGTGGTGGAGCTATTCATGCTGTTTGTAGCTTCTTGTGGCCTCAGAATTATGGATGGGATACCACTAAGAAGATTAGCATGGTTGAGAAAGATAAGACCGAGCTTTCTTCTGTCGAGTTTGAGGAGGAGAAACTCAAGAAGGCTAAGGCATGGATTGTGAAATGGGGTCTTGTTTTTACTCTTGTGATTGTCATCCTCTGGCCTGCTCTTAGCCTCCCTGCAGGTAAATAAACTAGTCTTGCTTGCTTGTAAATGTTCGATAATCTACACTGTTTAAATTTACGTTAAATTTGATACTGAAATTAAATTTTGAAGACAAAATCTCGATTTTAATAATAGGTGCATGTTAGTGCCTAGTGAAAAATTTGGACTATAAGCTGTTACGCTAATATTGCTAAAATGATGTTACGCTTACCCCCAATTATTCGACGTAACAGAAAATTAGGCGTGAATATAAAGGGTGTTACCCTACTACATGGTGTAAAGTTTACACCAAAAATCTTTCGTAACTTTACTAAGTTTTTTTGCAACTTAATGCAGGGGTGTTTAGTTTGAAATACTTCACAGTTTGGGTAGTCGTCGCAATAGCATGGGGAACTATAGGATCAGCAGTTATAATAGCAATGCCTGTGTTTGAGAGCTGGAAAACAATTCAAAGTGTATTGACGGGCATTTTCACGAACGATAGGCTCATCGAAAGGATAGAGGAGTTGAATTCGAAGATGAACACGATCATACTAGCGATCCCTGAAGCAGAGCGCCTTTATTTGCTTGAGAAAGAGAAGGCAAAGAAGAAAGATTTGATAGATGATCAAGTGCAAGAAGTTCATCACTTAGCTTGACAAACATTCTAATGTAATTGGATATTAGTCTAAAAAAACCTACTTCAATGATTCAATGCACGTCTATTAGATAAGATCATACTCTGTATATTGTGATGTATTAATAAAATATATACATACAAAATTATTGGGATAAAATGTTACTGATGATATATAACTTGTATATACTAGAAAATTGTTTCTGCATACTTAGGTAACCCCTCCTGCAGAAGGTCAATGTAATTTTTCTTACATTTAATTGCAACGGTTTGACTTTTGCACCATGCATGTACTCACTTTGACTATATTTACTACCGATACATAAAAACGAATTAATCTTTATACTTATTACTAATTAATATATAATGAAATTGCAAATATTAATAGTTATAGTTGTGTATTGACACATGTATCTGTTAGACGAGCATGTAATATGGTTGCCCATCATATTGCTATATGGGATACCGGTATAAACGATGAACTAGTTTGTATGGGCCCGTTCCCTCATAGCATCACAACTCTGGCAGAAATTGATTTAACTTAATAAAATACTTTTGCTACCATTTCCTCAAAAAAAAAATAAAAAATAAAAAAATTGACACCAGTATTAGTTAAACTGTTGTGTTTAATATGAAACTATATTGGTAAAATAATTATTACTCCATCATAAATAAAATTCTAAATTTCTAAGTAATAATAAAGTTTCTTCACCATTTTCTATTAATCTTCTTATTTGTTGAATTATTGTTATAACATAAGTTATGTAATTGAGGGAGCTGAGTTAGAAAGAGATTGAAAGTTTTTGAAAAATTATAGCAATAAATTAGTGAGATTATTATTTAATAAATACATTTAAACGAAAAGTAAAAAGGAATATCAACGGGAGAACGTAGGATATTCTCATTGGGTTTGTCAAATTTATTAGGAAGAAGTGTACAAAAAAAAGTGAAAGATTATTATTAATGCAGATTAATGATGAACGTATGATCAAACATTCAAATGGAAGAATTGAGAATATAATAATGAGGTCACGGCTTACGTACGTCACTACTAACGCGAGTTTCATTATCAAGTTGGAGTATTTAAATTATTTTGCTCGTATTTTTTAAGTTCATAGGAACAAAAAAAAGAGCCTTTCAATAAATCAAGTTGATTTATTATAGTTGGAAATAAAGAAAAGATCGATTTAGCTTTATAAACAAAATGATCAATAAAATTAATACTCTCCGATGTCTCCATTTTGCCATATTAACTGTTTCCCAATTTGCAACTTCATTTAAGGGTTAGAGAGTTGATACAAAAAGTTACTCTTGTGTGAACTGAATTGTCAATTGTTGAAAGCTATTACTCTCCTCATTACAGGCTAACATGCATCTTTCATTATTATCTCTACCATTTTCCTCATTATACATTTATACATACTCTTATATTGGTGCATCCCTATATATTTATCTCAATCATTAAAAATTGAAAAAATTCTGAGTCGTGAATGTTACCGTAATCTCAATAATAGATGGTCAATAAATGTATACACACCCTCTATCCCTATTCAACATCATGATTCATGAGAAGAAAACAATCCATCTATAAAATAATAATAATAATTATTCAACATCATGAATCTTGTTAGATTCGTCACGATATATATTTTCAAAATATCAACCGTTTATAATTATTATTTATTGGTTTTAAAAAATGTTAATGGTTGAAGTGGTACATTCTAAGAGTAACGTGTCAACTAAAAAGAAACGGAAGAAGTATAATTTATGACGGGTCAACTAGTTGAGTGAAAGGAATTAAATATTGTCAAAGTTTTTCAAATAAGAAAATGGAATATGTATTTAAAAATGGTAGAAAATAAAAAATAAAACAAACATTTAAATAAAAACAAAGGGAGTAAAACAGTGTTTTAGATGTTCTCTTCCTCACGTATTCTTGGCGCCCAAGAAAAGGTCCCACCTTCCACCCATAATTGAATTTTCTAGACGCCATCTTGACTTCCATTCGTTACACCCAACATAAATTAAAAAAATAAAAAATGTCCCGAAAAATGGGGGTCCACGTCAGCACTCTAACACCGACTTATTTTGCTGGTATAAAATCATCCAACTCCTCTTTAAAAGCCGTCATACAAATTGTCTTGAAAAGCAAGAAACTACTTTCTTTTTTTAAATAATTAAAAAATCAAAATTCCAGTAATTCTTCTTCCACATTGTTGGCGTATATTTTCTTAATCTGACGGCGGTTATTGTTTCCGATCAAGATGATGATGTCACGTGCTGCAACCAGAGCCGCACGATCAATGGTAATGGGCATGGCGGCCCCACGTTACTTCTCCTCCACCACTACCGCCGCCGCTGCCTTTGCCGGACTCCGGTGCAATGAAACGACGGCGTTTAAGCTTCTGAATGGGGTAGGTCATCACGTGAGTGGAGGTTCATCTGGTCACGTGCCTGGAATGGTAGCAGGGTTTATCCGGTTACCGGTGAGGAATATGAGTACGGCGACGTTGCATGATAATTCCTCCGAGGAAAAGGAGAAGACGGTGACCGATTCGGCCGGTGAAAATGGTGGGAACGATGAGAAGGCGGTTGTTAGTTATTGGGGTGTTCAACCTAAGAAGATCACCAAGGAAGATGGTACTGAATGGAAGTGGTCTTGTTTCATGGTATGCCAATCTTTATTTAGGGTTTTTCATAAATTTTGCTTTGTTTTCCAAATTTATACAATTATATGTGAAATATATTAGCAAGTTCGAAGTATATAATATGATTGTAGGATAGATACTCGTGACATACCTAATATGATTCGAGGATAGAAATTCGAAAATTATTATTTATTCGAGGTAAGAAAGTCCTAAATACATAAATATGCTAGTACATGAACAATATTGTGTATATTGAGGAATAATTATATTGTTATTTATTTGATTTTATTGTTTGGTGAAGCCATGGGAAACGTACAAAGCAGATTTGTCGATTGATTTAGGGAAACATCATGTGCCTAAAACATTATTGGACAAATTGGCTTATTTTACTGTTAAGTCTCTTCGGTTGCCTACTGATATCTTCTTTCAGGTACTATTTCTTTCTTTGGATGATAGTTTATCCTATTTTGGTTTGTTAAATACTTAAAATTAGTGATTTTTTAGCATATGTTTTTAGATCTGAAATGAACGCGTTGAGCTTGAGCTTGAACTATACGGTGTAAAGTTTTGTTTCATAACTTATGTCATTTTGGTTGGTTGATTGATTGATTTGGTTATTATTTTATGTTGTTTAATTATCACAAATTCACAACATTAGTGTAATACTCCAAATCTGTTAAAAATACACTAGTACATTACTATAGAAACACAGAAGTAATAAAAATAATAATTCTGTATTACATTTTTTAGTGAATATATATTACAAGTATTAAACATGTCTATTTGAACAAGTTTTTTTCCGTAGGATTTTGGTGAAGAGGAGGAAGGTTCTTTTCATTGTTAATTGGAGGAAATACGGCAAATAATTTGATTGGTTAATGTTACTTTGATAGTGGTGGGGTTAGGTCAAAGGTGGTGGATCTGGGGCATCTAGCCTACGTTGTAGCTAAAATACAATGAATTGGTTTAGCAGTGATATTTTTTCCCCCTAATATGGCAAAACAAAAAAGACCAATTTGGTTAGTCAATATTTTGATCAAGTCAAAATTCTAATTAATACATAGTTTGACAATTACGAGAAAAAAAAAAAAAAAAAAAAAAACCTGTTAAATGACTTATGAGAGTATTTTTTAAAACTATTCAAAACTTGAATACGGAGTATAATTAATATTTGCACTTTTGATAACCAAATTAATAATGATATCGCGGTGCTATTACATTTGTATAATTGTGTTGTTGACTTGCATATGTAGATTATGTTAGTTCTTTTCAATAACAAAAATAAAGTGCAGAGTAAAATGTAACATGTTTAGTTTTTTCACATATTATTACTAAGTATCTAACACTATAAAATTGTATGGACAAAATTAGATCGATGACCGAGTTTAAAATAAACTCCCTATAATTTTTTGTTACCACTAGTGCCTCTAATTTTCGGTTCTACCACTGTTCCATTGGATGATTTTATGTTGTTAACAATTTTTTTGAGTCTAAATAGACTATTAGCTAGGTGATGGGTTTATTAAGAACTACTCCATGCACCAAACCTCTATACATTATATCATCACAAAATAGACTTTAGCCACAATGATCAGAACTGAACAAGCTTAAATAACCATGCTTAACTCTATAGCAATATACTTGTTTCATTTTCTACTTTAATTAACCATGTGGCATGATGCAGAGGAGGTATGGATGCCGTGCAATGATGCTGGAAACAGTGGCAGCAGTGCCAGGCATGGTTGGAGGAATGCTTCTCCACTGTAAATCCCTCCGACGATTTGAGCAAAGTGGTGGGTGGATCAAGGCTCTCCTAGAAGAGGCTGAGAATGAGCGTATGCACCTCATGACCTTCATGGAGGTGGTAAAACCTCGGTGGTATGAGCGCGCACTGGTGTTTTCTGTCCAGGGTGTTTTCTTCAATGCTTACTTCCTCGCCTACATTGTGTCTCCTAAGCTTGCCCATCGTATTGTGGGTTACCTCGAGGAAGAAGCCATCCACTCATACACCGAATTTCTCAAGGAGATTGACAATGGAAACATCGCGAATGTGCCTGCTCCTGCTATCGCTATTGACTACTGGAGGTTGCCTGCTGACTCTACTCTTAGGGATGTTGTCATGGTGGTTAGGGCAGATGAAGCTCACCACCGTGATGTTAATCACTTTGCATCGGTAAGTCAGTTTACAATGTGGTGATTCTGCTATAAGCCTCCCCTTTACTTTTTTGTTTTTGTTGTTCAGTACTTATTTTCCAAAATAGATGTCTTCACTTGTTTGAATTTCTGAGTTTGAATTTAACAAATTGGCTCTTTTGGTTGTTGATATGCAGGACATTCACTATCAAGGTCGCGAGCTGAAGGAAGCTCCTGCTCCTGTTGGTTATCATTGAGAAGAGAGATTTATCTAGCTATTAACAGCTAATAAAAATCAAGATTCATGACTCAGATTTGAAAGACTACTACTAATATGTTCTCTGAAGATTATACTTAAGCTAGCTAGCGAAAGCGTATTACTATTGTCATGTAAATACCTTGTACTACCTTCTTGGGAGTCTTTTCGTTGACTCTACTCGCAAAATTTAATTGAATGATATTATTACTCTTATCACATTATTAAGTTTCTTACTATGATTTCCTTCCTACATCATTTACATGCCAGGTGACTGAATGCTGCAGGAATCCAGGGAAATTAATCTCTGGTATGCCTTATTATTCTTTGCAGCTTCGTTTTTTGGTGTACATAAAGTGTTTCTTAATCGTATTTAGAAAATGGAACCCTTACATAATCTTACATTCTTATTATATATAATTAAAAGTATTAACCAAGAAAAGCTTCATATCACTGATATCAGCAACGGAACAAGCCAACCAGAGAATCTAAAAGATTAGCAGCAACTCAGCAAGAATGCAGATAGAGTACAGCATTATGTCCAAGGTGTAGGCAGTGTGTTGTAGCTCTGGAATACGCGACCAATTTTGTCTCCTGCACTCTTTTAGCGAAATTCCATGGGGTGGTGAAGATTTGAAAGTTGATCAATCAAAAAATGGCCTAATTTGGGAAAGAGGCTTGAAATATACCATCGGTGGAAGCGAATAAGCATTGAAGTTATTGATTAGTAAGCGTGGAAGCAAACAAGCTCATGATGCCCTTACATTATTACATGAGAGCGACAAACTCTACTCATGTTGGCTTTGCTTCATTCGCTTAATTGATGTGATCTCAACTTTGTAGACGCAAGCAAATTGATATTGTACTATGTGTATTATTTTTTCGGACGATTTATAAATATAAGGCCGTTCTAAAACTTAATTACATTTCTGCATTGAAATAAAACGTATTTATAAAACTATTGCCCATGTAGGCTTAGTGAGAGGTTCATTTATAATTTTTTTTTTTTATATATATATATTTTTTATTGCATCACAAAAAAAAAAAAAAAAAAAAAAGAAAAAAAAAAAAAGTTGCAAAGCTCTTCACTTCCCCTCCACCACCGAGGAGGAGCCCCCACCAAAGACCACTCTATCAGCGCCGATTAGACCAACGACCACCATTACACACTGCCGCCACCATTACCTGATTATTATTATTTGGCCTATGGGATTTTAGGAGGTGAATGGAGATTAAAAAAAAAGTGCTTGGAAGTGAAAAGACGGCGACCTTTTTCCGATGAAACTGAAATTGGAGAGCTCTAATTCTCCCCCTATTTTCATTTTTTTAGATTAAATTAGAGGCAAAATTTGGTAGTGGGAAAAAGTAAGAGAGAGAAACGTAAAAATACAAAATTGTTCATGTGATGTAAAAATAAAATAAAAGTAAAGGTATGTTGGGTATTTGCAGTGTGAACATAGATATTTTTTGTCTTAAAATGGAAATGATGCAATATTTATAAAACTTTCCTAAAAGGCAAGTGATGCGATATTAAAAGAAAATTAAAAAAAATAAAAAAAATAAAAAGTCAAAATTGAGAAATTGAAGTAAATGTTTCGGGGTGTAAGATCTCCAAGAATAAAACCCATGGAAAGTTGGAAACCGATCATCTTCTCTTAAATTTGTGCAGAAAATCGACGCCCAAGCAATACATACATCGTTAATATTTGTTTTCTAATTCAGAAAATATAATTAGTAATCGGCATGGTGGCGCAAGGGTTGCGGCAGTGTGTAGATTGTGGTTGTCAATCTAGTCGGCGCCGGTATGGTGGGCTTTTTCTTGGTGGTAGGGTGCTCAATTGCGGAGGAAAAGTGAAGAGCTTTGCAATTTTATTTTTTTTGAAACAATAAAAAATATTACATATAACAAGCCTCTTACCAAGCCTATATGGACAATAGTTTTGTAATTAAGTTTTATTCCAATGCAAAAAGGTAACTAAGTTTCTAATTTGCCTTATATTTGTAAATCGTCCTAATTTTTCTTGCTACATATATGTTCTTAGGCAATTACAAATTCACAAGTTCACAACTCTGCAATCTTGGGCTTGACTTTATACTTTAAAAGTGATTATCTAATGACACTCTTCTAGAAGAGGCACTTGGATTTGACTTGATAGATTTGATTGTTGTTGGGATGTGTATCCAAACTGAAGAAAATAAAAAGTTGTGTCCACTTGAGGTTAAAATGTTGAACCTTCTTAAATTTATCAAGTGTATTGTCTCTCGGAGTCTCAGTGGTGGGTGTGACCTAGACTTTTTAACATGGTATTATGGACAGTTGGGTGTATTATGAACAACATACATGTGAGCGAAAATGTGAGGTTATAAACGTTTCACATGTAAGGGTTGTCGTATGATTTTGAGGTGGAACCTTTGCTCAAGATCGTTTAACAATTGTCATTTTAACAATCCTTTGTTAGGTTTGTGAATCTTTGTGATGAATATAAATATCAAAGTGACAAAAATACCCTTACTAATCTTATACTTTTGCCTTCCATTAATGGTAAAATAGTCTCCGTAATAATCTTAATTCCCATTTCTATAATTCTTAATTTTTCCCCTTCAGAGCTCATTTACGTTTGCGGTTGCGCTGCGTAGCTGCACACAGTCTCTCTCTCTGTCCTCCATTGAAGCGCTCTCTGAGTTCTCCGTTGAGGCGGCTTGTTAGCTTTCTCTCCTCCATTGAAGCAGCATCTAAGGTAAGATGTTCTTACATTTTAAAACATCGATTATCAATTTCTCAATCTAATGTTAATTGCTAAATTAATTTAGTATGGTCAATTTAGGGTTCGTGGATTATTGAACTATTGATTGATTATAGTTATTGTTACTCGAAGAATTTGAGGTAATTTTTGGAGCCTAATTTGATCATCGATTCAACTTTGGTTGCCAATGTGTTGCAGACTTTGGTTTGTATAACCCTTTAATGTCAATGTCAGGACGAAACCATGAGATTTTAGATGGTTTTCGAGTGTAGTGTTCATGATTTCAGATTAATTTTAGATAGTTTTTGAGGGTAGTTGTTCATGACTTCAGGTTAATTTTAGGTAGTTTTTGAGGTTAGTGTTCATGATTTCAGCTTAAATTTAGATAGTTTTTAAGGATAGTGTTCATGTTTTCTGGTCAATTTTAGATAGTTTTTGAGGGTAGTGTTCATGATTTCAGGTTAATTTTCGATAGTTTTCTAGGGTAGTGTTCATGAGTTGTTAGTGAATTCGAGCCTGATGAAAAGGTTTACATTGGTTGGCTTACTGTAATTCGAGTTACTGTTTGAGAATCGCTATTATACGACATGACCGGCTTTTTAGTTTGGGTTTAAGGGTTGCCTTTTCTTGCCGCTTGAACATAGGTTGACATGCTATGTTTCTTCCTTTCTTTGATATCATGTATCTCAATAAAGCTTGCTCCCAAACGATTTTAGTTAAACCTAATTAGTAAGTGCTCTGTACTTCCGTAGTAGATTGTGTGCGGGTTGAGGTCAAGATGTCATATCTTGCTGAGAGACACGAGTGGTTAGGAAATTATGATTGTTAACTGCAAGTGGTTATTTCCACAATCATGACCCTTATTCACGTTGTATTAGTTGCTCCAGAGTTGATTTATAGATAATTATGATCTTTAATTGTCAATAGTATTTCCTTGAAAACAGTCCTCTTAATGTCGGTTTTCATTTTTCCTTCCCTTAGGTAAGGGAAAAATGCAATTTTGCAGCTCCAATGTTGCCAAAATATTGTCTGTTCTTATCATTGCATTAAATTGGACAACACATAATAGCTCATTAATTTTTTATCTTCAAACTTGTAGATAGTAATTGATTTTGGAACTAAGGTACAATAAATGTTAAAAAAAAAATTGTTTTGTAAGCCTTGCGGTTGTGTTCATAGGACCCCTTTACTCTGTTAGTGGAGCTTAAAAACTCCTCTACCCTGTTTCCTCTCCAAAAAAATCCCACATTACAATAAAAAAAACTACATACTATGAATTATATATTACTAGGAATGTATGGTCAAAGTTGCTGAACTTCAACCTTGAATAGTGTTTGAAGTTAATTTTGGTTTGGGGGAGGTTATAAGGGTTGCTGTTAAGGATGGTTATCTATTAATTGGAGACTAATGCTGCTGCATTTATTTCATTTTTTGGTTTTGCAACCATTTGAATATCCTATGTCTCAAGATTGGCTCCCTGAATAGGAGCAGGGGAAGATAAGATTGTATTATATTATGATTTCTTCTTTTAAAACAAAAGGTCCCTCTTTGTAATTTTGGATGTGAAGCTGTTCTGTATTTTACAAATTTTTAAAATCTTTGTGAATAATAACCTCAAGTCCACAATCACACTAAAACACTGAATAAAGTGCTTTCTATGACCTAGAATAAATGGGAATTTATGTTTTCATAAGGTGAAATGTGAATAATAAAAAGTCTTTTTGCTGCATTTTTAAGCTCATTGGTTTATGCATTGTGAAAATGATGGAAGAAAAAAAAAAACATTTAAAAAGTACTTATAATTTATAAAAGATGCTTTTAACAAGACTGTTAACAATATATACTTATCTATACTATTAACCGATCAATTATTAAAGGTCAAACGAGTATTCAAATTTTGCTAACTGTTTTGATAGAAGGGATTATGTTTATGTGTGTGTGTGTTTTTTTTTTTTTTTTTTTTTTTTTTTTTTGGCATAATCTCTATTTGCCAGCAAGTAATGTAATATTAATGGGGAAAATCTTCTGCACTGCAGTTATTATACAGGAGATTGTCTTATAAAAAATCATTTTAAATATTGATGGATCGTTCACCACATGATTATGCTGCTATGGCATTTGCTCAGCAACAGCAACAAGCAGCTAATTTGCCAGGACAACAGTATGGATTCCCTCCACAGCATCAACAGTTTCCCCCTTCAGTTCACGGTCCTCCTTTTCTACCTCCTCCTCCATCTGTCCAACAATTTCCTTACCAACATCAGCAACATCCTCAACAAATCCATCCTCCTCACTCTCATCTTCTTCATCTTCAGCAGCAACAACAGCCTCCACCACCTTTTCCTCCTCATATGCCTCCTCACATGGTACCATCTCCTTTTCCTGGAGGACCATATGACTCTGCCCCACCCCCAGCTCCTCCTCCTCAAGATCCTGAAATGCGAAAGCGTATTGACAAGCTAGTTGAGTACGTTGCCAAAAATGGCCCAGGATTCGAAGCGATGGTTTGTGAGAAAGAACATAAAAACCCAGAGTATAGTTTCTTGTTTGGCGGTGAGGGTCATGGATACTATCGCTATAAGCTGTTTTTGTTTACTCGATCTCCTGATCCTTTTGGTGCCCCTTTTCCCCCTTCTATGCCTGGGATTCATCCACCTTCTATGAATCCTAGTGCAGTTTCTGGTCCAGTGATGGGCCCACCTCAGATGCACCAACCGCCTTTCCCTCATTATGATCAGCAACAGCCCTATTCTCAGCCTTACATGGGTGATGGTCGAATGGATTATGACCAACCACCCAAGTCATTTAGAGGTCTTTCAGGTCCACTTCCTTCTGATATTGCAATGGAGTTGAACAATGTGCTTGTCAACCTCACTGGTACCAAGGAGTCGATTAAAGGTGCTAAAGCATGGTTTATGCAGAGATCGCCTTTTGCTCCTGCTCTAGCTGAAGCGTTGAGAGATAGAGTCTTCACTTTAGAAGATTCTGAGAAGCTATTGCACATTATTTACCTTGCAAATGATATTCTCTTTGACAGGTATTTGTAGGCTATAATTGAGTTTGCTATAATTATTAATTCTAAATGTAAAATCTAAAGTAAAAATTGTCTTGCTGATTTTGCTTTGTTTTCTAATTATTTTTCTATGTTCTTGCTCCTGTGGATTTTTTTGTTGGTGGTAACCCTATGGGATGATGGATAACTCTACTCTTTTTCTTTTGTTTTGCTTTAATCTTGTCAAAACAAGCTTTGCTCTTTGCCTTCCTCTTACAAATATTTCCATGCACCATAGTGTTTATAAAAACTGCCTTCCTACATTTAAAAATTTTGTCTGACAAATACTTCCATACTTAATTCTAAAAAATTTACCCAAAATATTTAAGAGAAATATATTGTGAAAACTAAATACTTCGTAAGCAACATGGAGAGTAATAATTTATTTATTTATTTATTTTTATTTATTTTTATTACTCTTAACAGCACCCATTTTAGAAAATAATGGTTGGATAGTTGCATTTATTTTCCCCACCATGTAATGGATGATTTACTGGTGTTCAGGAATCATTTTAGATATATTTTCCCCTTTGTGTTTATGTAAATGTCATTGTTAAACTATAAAATTATTGGCATACACTGTTGTGGTACTTTCCATTTTCAATGGAGCTCAAAGATATACTATTCTTTGGCTTTTGTAAATAATAGATTAAATCAAAGTGGTTCAGTCCACTGTTTGTGGTTAATCATGATGTTGATGCTAGCATATCCTTGTTTACGTGGTTTTTCTTCATTAGCGGCATTGCACTATTTTGCTTTTTGCACCATTTTTTAATACCATGGTTACTTGAATTTCACAGCTTCCAGCGACGTGCCAATCCTAACGAACTTGATAATGAGGCCCTTGCATTCAAACCCGTTCTGGGCTCCATGCTGGCAAGAATTTACCATCACCCACAAAATAAGGAAGAAAACCAGTCACGGTTGCAAAAAATATTGCAATTTTGGGCTTCAAAAGAAGTTTATGATCAAGAAACTATCCATGTGCTCGAGGGAGAGATGACTGGAGGACCACCGGCTAGTTCATTTTTTGGGCCTCCCAAAGAGCTGCATGGTTCATCAGCCGATCCTTCAAGTTCTGGGGGTAGGCCATCCCCTTAAATTACACCGTCTAATATTTTATCCTTTTGACATTTGAGTAAATAAATTTTTAAATATATTGGTGGGGGGTTGTTTTTGTTTTTTAAACTAATATTCCTGCTATTCTTTGAAAATTTTGCTGGATAAAGTTGTGTCAGTATGTTTCGAAAATGATATCTTCAACAATAAGATGCATCTTACTTGTGGACTTTCGTAGTGGTTTCACATTTTCTTTAACTTTTTGAATTGATCATATATTTTTATGAACCTCGATGCAGGGATACCTCACCAAACAGCAATCAGTAACCTTCAGTGGCAGCAGGACAAACACAGCATACTAAACCAAGATCAGCCTGATAGACATGGCTTTGGAGGTCAGCCATTCCTTCCACACACTGTCACACCTGGTGGTTTTCCAGGATCTGTTCCTTTACCTTCGGCAGTTCCACCTGTAAATCAGCTTCCTACCCCACTTGCACCACAGCCATCTGCTATTAATGTCGGCGACAAGGTACCACCATACCCTTTGTTCCCTCCCGGTCTTATACCTGGAATGGTAAAAAAACAGCAGGTTGGAAGTGGTGTACCTTATTCTCCGATGAGCCCTCTTGAAATCCCAACTGTCATACCATCATCTGATGTTCCAGAATCTGATATCTTGGAGAGAGTGTCTAAATATTTTAAGGAGATTGGAGAGGTCAACCCTTCTGAAGGGCCGATGAGTGGGTCTGAAGCAAGATATGATGATGACTATCAAAGAGATTCTCCAGTCCGCAAGGGAGGAGCTTGCATCCCTCCACCACCGAATCTGCAATCAGATGCAGGAAGAGAGACAGAATCGGGTTCATTTAGCTCTGGAAGATTAGGTCTTGGAGCCACTGCAAATCCAAATGAAGCAAGTCAATATGATGATGTGTATACTAGTTATCGCAAACAGAGAAGCTCTAATTACCATGTGTCAATGAGTACTAGAACAGGAACACGGTAGTAAAGCATAATACACAATTTTGTGCTTTGTGAGCTAAAGTACCAGATACAAAAAGCTTATCTATCTTGTATGACTTAATGTTTATTCTTGGTTTGAGTTTTGAAAAGCCTTAACGTAGTGTTTAGATACAAGGATTTAATATCTGTAGAAATATCTCCTTTCAAACGCCATTTCCAGCGCAACTTTTTAATAAAAAGATCATAACTCAATTTCCTATCAAACAGTTTGGTGATCAAGGCATTTTAATCTTTTTTTCTCTTCCTTAGAAATTCTAATGACAGGGCAACTCTCATCACCGAGTTCCAAAAAATCAGGCCTATCTATGAATTGCATCGAAATCATTTTATTTTCAGGATCGATTACTCCGATTTTCCACTTACGCCCTTTTTCTTTGAACAAGATTATATAGAATTTTCCATTATGAAAAGCCATATCAAGTACAGTTCCCCAATGGCGAATCTCGATATCAATCCATTGTTTATCACCCAATCTCCATAACATCAACCCTTTCTTTCTCTTACGATCCACTAATACAGCATACTTATAACTCGAATTCAATGCCCAACCACCTACAACTAGGAAGGATATATATTCGGGTCGGGTTTTACAGTCCGATAAATGAACCAAGTACATGGGTTTTACAGCATTCTTATAACCTGATCCTCTTCATCTGATATATCATCATCAGCATCATGAATCTGATCTACAAGGGAGTTCTTAATCCTTTGGTAATTAAGAACTCGATTACTGAAGATAGTTCAAGTTACTAGCATGGACTAGCATGGACCAATCAAATGAAGAATTGGGCCCAAAGTTTTAAGAGCCCAAGTCCAAAGAAGAAGACCCAATTTCGTTCAGCTGCTGCATGGCCCCAATTTGGTTTGGTTTGCCTTTTTTTCTTTGGGCCTATTATTTATTGTTGATCGATCTAGATCATCTGCAGGTTGCCAGGAGGCTCGTAGGGGTGCAAAACATAGTCGAAGGCCTAGTGCAGGGCTTCAAGTATTCCAACTTGGCTCGAATAAAGTTTGCTAGCAAGTGTTTTTCTTAGGTTTTTTCGTAGTCTTGTTATTTCCTTTATTGGCTTCTTATTGAATTTTATTTAATCTTTGTCAATTACTAAAAAAAAGAAAAAAGAAATAAAATTATAACGATCAATAATTAAGGTGACAAATCAGTTACCACAATTTGGTAATTTAATTAATGTCCAAAATATTAAGTAATTTACTTTTGTGTTTCTTCTTCTTAATTTGAATAAAAAATGACTACATATTGAAAATTTTCAATTATTGAACAATAAATATTCAATTGATTGACCTTATAAAATAGGTAGAAAAAAATTCTTTCAACTACAATAGTTTGATGCGGAGTACAAATTTCGTAATTTCATTTGAATGAATTATGTAAAATTGATACTGAACTAAACTAAAAGTCAAAGGCTAACTCAAATTTGGCTACCGTCAAATCATATATTGATTATTGAAGTACAAACGGAGATTTACAAAATTACGAAGTACTAGTATATCATTTTCACCCGTTATCAACTTCGAAAACTAGCATAATTTATACCGCAAGTAACAGAAGTAGCCTTTGTTATTATGTAAAATTTATACTTCAAATTTTATTGATCTACCACACTTACAAAATGATGACGATTATTAAAATTACAAAATGACTATTATCATGATTATAAAATTTTATATTTCAATTTCATAAAAACTACAAAAATTAATACTCCGTAGCATTTAAATTTATTTTATAATTCTTTAGTAAAATAGTAATCTAATATTAGAACTTAACAGTCCATAATATGTCAATATCTCAATCCCCAAATTCCATTAAAGTAACATCTTTATAACTACTTGTATGAAGTATTAACAATTAACATGAAGTATTATTCTTTACAAAGTTCAATTACAGTTGGTTTTAATAATTAAAAAAAAAGGGTTCAGTTATAGATTTACGGCCCAGTACGGTTCATTGATACAGTCGGTCCATAAAGCCCATGCACGCTAAACTAGCTCGTCAAGGCCCAAATTATTCTTACCAAGTCAACAAAATCAACAATCAATATACTTATAATAAAAGAAAATTCTTCCATGACACTAAAAAATTTCCCGCATTTTTCGCTCTTCTTTTTTTTTTTTTTTTTTCAAAACCTTAAGTAAACTATTTATAAATTATGAAATTTTCTTTTCACTTTGACAATCATATTCCATATATATACCCAAATAAAATATTTCTGAATATCTTTTATATACTTTTAATTCTAAACGGTATTTTGACCTAGTTTAGAATTAAAACTCAAAGTTGAAACAATAATTGAGATTAGAAGCTCGCTGAAACAAATAAATTTGAAATATAAATAACTGGTTTAATTTATTATTATTATTTGCCCCAAAAAATAAAATTAGGGTTAATTATCATACAAAGTGCAACAACGCCACCAATAAAAGATGATAATATGGAAGAAATACGTATTAATAAATCAAATTGTTCTGACTTATAATGACGATAACTAACACCAGGTTTACATTTTGTAACATTATTATCCTTCAAACATTCAGATTTAGTTTTATACCCACAAAAATCCAAAAAACACCAACATCTTCAGGTACGGCACTTGAATGACTGGCATACGTATTTTAAGTTTAATTTCCCGCAAAACTTAAAAGTGTAAGTAGTTAAGGGAATAATGTACCAAGTCAAAACATATCAACTTAAGAGAAATGGAGGAAGTTAGAAGTATATACCTATACAAATTCTAAATTGACATGTGTCATCTCTAAAATAAAAAAATTTCTGCTCTTTTAATTAATCACTCATAAATTATTAAAAAAAGAAAAAAAGTATGTACTACAATATAGTAGTTGTATATCTTTATTGATAGGAGATTAATATAGATAAATTCTTATTGATACTAAATAAAATAATAGATCTGTTTTGATTAATTTTATTAAATAAGATGATTACATTTAGTCATTAAAATAGTAATTTGAAATATATTTAAAAACACAAATTTGGAAAAGGAATTTGGCGACAAGGGAATGACATGTGTTATCCAAAAATTCATTTTAGTATAGGTTTATGACCTGGCAACAGGTTATTCGGGTCGAGTCTGGGTCAGGTCACTTTCGAGTCAGGTCATATTCGGGTCGGGTATGGGTCAGGTCGGGTCAATTCGGGTTTCAGTTATATCTCTGGTTAGGTATCGAGTCGAGTTCGAATTGAGTCTATTCGGGTCATACCATTTTCGAGAGAGTATGTTCGGGTCATAGTCAGGTCGGGTCAGAATCGGGTCGGGTCAGAATCGTGTCGGGTCATGTTCGGGTTGTTCCATTTGATGATCAAGCTCAAATCAATAATTTTATATTTTGTTATTATTATAATAAAAACTATCAATTTAGTTTATGAGCTTGGCTATGATTAGATTGGAGATGAGCAATTTGTGTCATTTTTGGCACTAGACATTTTTAGTTTAGTTATAAGGTAATTTTAGTTCAGTACATTTCGGGTATCGGGTCTGTTCGGGTTGAAAACTTCGAGTCAACTTTAGGTCGGGTCAATTTCAGGTCAGGCCATTTCGAGTATCGGGTCAACTTTGGGTCTGGTACAATTGGGTTGGGTTAGTTCGGGTGTCGGGTCAACTTCATTTTCGAGTCGGGTATGGGTCGGGTCAATTTTGGGTTTTGGGTCGGGTCGGGTCGATGTTTGTGAGTCGATTTCGAGTCGGGTCACTGGATCTGAGTCAGAATTCCCAGGTATAGGTTTATAGATGTATTAATTATTTAAAAATACTTTTTTGTATGCTTTCTTAGACTTGATAAAATTTATCAATAAATAAGTCAACTATATTATTAACACTTTATTTGTGTACATTCGATTTACAATAATAGTAGTGTACATCGAATGTGGCTCTCGAAATAGTAAAAAAAACAATGATAGGATAATGTACTTTTAAGTTATTTTGGGTAATGTTTAACCTGATTTGATTTTGAAGTAAATAAACAATGGGATATTAAGTTTTATAAGGGTAATGTAGTTACTTTTACTCACTCATATTTTGTTTTTAATAATTTAAATCAGAATGACTCTGATTTATTTTGGGTAACTTTTGATCTATCATTTTAGGCCGACTTTTCAACCAATATATTTAATGTTGTACACCTAATTTTTTATTTTTAAAAAGTCTGTGACTATATTATGGGACGATAGAGTAGAGTATGTGTTTATTAAATTGATTAAAACAAAAGTACACATGAAGTATAATATATAAGATATTTGAGGCATGACTAGATATAAATAGGTAAAACATGACCAATATATTTGTAAAGGTTGTAAACCTTTATCATATAGCTATTTCTAAACCATTTTATTCAACATCGAATTGAAAAGAGGAAGCCCCGGTATCTCAACATGAGATACAAAACTTGAATCTCAAAATGGCAAATAGGTAAATGTAAGGAACTTTATGAATATTTTATAATTTTTAATGTACTATTTTTTTGGGTTTGGTCTTCTTCTTCAACAAATAATCTGCATATCTGCTCCATTGTCATTCCCCTCCATTCTCATCTCTTTCTTGCTCCTTCCTAATAATATTGCTTCATCTTGTAAACCACCAACGTTCACCCTCATAATTCCGAACCTTAAGAAAAATAGAGAAATTAAGGGCATGGTTAACCCAAAGGGTATGAGTGTTAATTTCCTCCAGTGAAACCGATTGTCGAGTTCCATTTCACCGTTGAAGCTCTTCGGTCCTCGCTCCATTGATGCTGTTCTGATTTTCGTTCCTCCATTGATGATGTTCAGATTTTGCTTGGATACAATGATATTTTAGACAATTTTACAATTTTAACTCCATCTTATTAGCTAAAATGATGTATCTCATGTTGAGATAATGAATTTTCTCAATTGAAAATATGATACGGACAGAGTACCGTGATAGATGATTAGATAGGTATACGTTATTGTAAATGAAATTATTATACACTAAAAGCTTTCAATATAACAAGTAATAGGTTAAAATTTGTGAGGGTTAATATTTAAACCGTACAATTATACGAATATTATACTATTTTTACATAAGAGGAAACCGCGTGGTTTTCTCAACGTTGCTCTACACCAATAGGCACTGAAAGTGTGCTACGATACAAAATTACCATTTCGTAACACATGAGACCAACTAATAGATAAAAAACGACCTACTATAGCTTAAGTT